ATACAAAAAAAATAAGCAAACACTTTCAGAAGAAAACAAAGAATTTTACACTAAAGAACTTCACAAAGAGTTTAAAGAAGCATATGAAAACGAACACTTAGGTGGTATGGTTTTAGATACTCATAATTTTGAAAGACCCTTGACTTTCTTTCGCTTATGGTACAACTACCATAAGAAATATAAAGATGAATACACAGAACAAAACAAAACAGACTTAAGCACCATTACCAAAAGTAGTATGACAGATTTTTTATTTGACAAAATGACATATTTAAGAAATACAGGAGTAGAGATTAGAGATTATTTAAAAAGGACTGAAAAAGAAAAGAACAAATATTATCGCATATTATACACAACTAATACATCACAATTTACAAAATATGAACTCAATTTACCTATCAAATTATCTGATGCTATGGGTTTTTAGATGCATGCAGTAGAATAAGCCAGTATGAATTTGACAAACTATTTAATCAAATAAAGTATCAGCAATCGGACAAGAAAAAGAAAAGAGATAAAGAATTGAAACAGTTTTTGAATAGCACCTCCGATTTTGAATAAACAATGGATTTTATAATAGAAAATTATAAAAGTCATGTTCAAGAGTTTAGGAAAACATTTAGAAATTTTACTATAAAAAATATCTAGAAATTGTACTATAAAATATTTCTTGTAAAAATGTTATTTAAAGAAATATTATTTTAATATAAATATATATATTGTATTATGAACAAGTTTTGGGTAAGGAATATTTCAGAACTAAAAAAGTTGAAAGGAAAGAGAATTAATGACAAAACCACTAAAGCAACAAAGAAAAGAATTGATGAAATCATAGAACTATACACTGAAAGAAAAATAGCAAATGTAGCAACCGCCGAAAATTACATTAAAGGTTTAACTTCTGATAATAAAAGAATTTATGATAAAACTTTTGAAAAATATAAAAGCACCATACAGAAGTTTAAGGAACAAAAACCATTGAATAAAATAATGGAAGAAACAAAAAAAAACCAGAAGAATACATACTTTATCAATTTTGAAGTCTTTACCACCAGAAAGCCAGTGAATGAAAAAATGAAGCCATCTTTTAAATACCTTAACCAACCTTATTACATTGACAGTTTTGATATTAGAAATGCTACAATCACTGTATCCAACTTCCCAAAGGATATTATAGGACAAAGAATTTTCAGGTTTGAAACTTTAGAAGACCAATATGAAGGAAAAAAAAACCAAGATTTACTGGAGTAATGTCTCTTTTAAAGAATGATACAGAATTTGATGAGTTAATCAATACCTTACAGATGTATTACCAAGATAATATTTTTCATTGTATTAAGATTACATCAGTAGAAGTAGTAAATAAGAAGGGTGAAAAATTAAATATACTTAATGAAAACTTGACTGGTGCTGTTAATGTATCAATATACCATAATTATATACATACACCTTTAAAAATGGAAGCATCAACCATTAAGAAAGCAATTGAAAAGGGAAATCATATAGATAATATGTGTTGGGTTAATGCCCTTACTGACTTTTACAAGGATACAATTATGAATGAGAAAACCAGAAAAAGACTGACAGTTGAAAGGATTGTTGAAATTTTAGGCAGAAATGACTTTTATGAAAAGGGAGCATCAATTCAGGAAATGGAAAAAGTATTTGTAGAATTCAGTATCCAAGCTAGAATATATAACTATTTAAATGCTTTAGTGTATAAGTATGACCCACCCAAAAGAAATCACCATATCAAGACCCTTTACGCTTTAGTTAAAAACAACCATATTTATGTTTTAAATCATGACCTCAAGAGCATTCAACAGAAACAAGAAAGTAATATACCTACAGTAAAAGCATCTACTGACTACTAAATAAGTGATAAAGAAAAACCACCAAAATTTAAGATGATAAAAAACATAGATGATATACTAAAAATTGAAATCGCAGAAGATACAAAATAAATAAAATTAATTGCTGATAATAATAGTTTAACTGAATTATTTTTTCAACTGCTTACTGCTGGGTATGAACCAAAAATAAGGTTTCAAGCAGGTATTATAACAGAAATCATAATGAAATTTAACAATACTAAATACATCATTAAAACACAAAATCTAGTTAAAACTTCTGCTGATGGATGTATAGCAGTTAGTAATGAAACTACATATAACAATATGAATTTAGCATTTTTTAATTTTCATAAATCTCTGTTTAATGTAGCCCATAAAACTTTTTATAATGATATTGATATTAAGATATTAGATGAAACTAGGACAGTCGTGCCAGTAGGCTTATTTAATCCAGATTGTAAAACCTTATCAATATTGTAAGTGCTATGGTATTTAACCAATTTGACATTTGGAAAACTTTTCATGACAATATCAATATTAATGAACTATCAGATTATACTTTATATTATGTTGAAGTGGCTGAAGGAAATCCATTATTATCAACTAAGTTTAGAAGTATAATGTTATTTTTCAACAAGAAGTATAACTTAATCTACGGTAAGTTATTGAAACAGATTACTGATACAAGAATTCTAAAGAATAAAAAAGTTTTATATTACAAAACCCCTTCACAAGTCCATAATGTAGATTATGAAGAATTATTCAACGAATTGAAGGGAATGACAATAAGTGATATAGAAGAAGAAGACAAATATTTAAAGAAACTTATCGTTAATGTATTGATAGGGTTATTGGAAAAAGGAGGGGCTACAGACCAGAAAAGTTTAGTATTCAGAAATCTAGCAGAGGCAATAAATTACCAGAGTGAATACGGTGGCAAATTACATAAACTAATACATGTAGAACAAAATGAAGAAGGATATGAAAGGGTAAAACAAAAGTCTTATATCTTAAATTTAAGTGATAAAGCAAAACTTAAAAATGGCTTCAGATATATCAAAGAACTACTTTTACAACAACATAAGATGACAATGAATGAAGCATATTATAAGCTAAGAGATAATGGAATTTATATTCATAGTGTTAAAACTGATGCTTTTGTAATTGATACTTCTGATGTTGAAAAGGCTCAAGATTTATTGAACTTTCATAATGATATAGGAGGATGGAGAGTTAGTATTTCTGATGATGATATCATACTACCAACTACCATATATGATATAGTGCAGAATGAAAAAGTAGAAATACCAACTTATCAGCATAAAGACATTGAAATTAAAAATGAATACGACACTGATAATATCATTGAAGTTATCAAGGAAAATAACCCAATGATGATAAGGGGTGTTTTCCCAGGCACAGGCAAAAGTTATATATGTCAGAAAATGGTAGATAAAGGTTTTAGGGTCATGTTTGTATGTCCTACTAATAGACTGCTACAAGAATTTGAAGGAGATGCTTTAACATTGAATAAGTTTTTTGGTATAAGTTTCGGTGATGTAAAGTTAGAACCATTTGATTATTCAGGGTATGATGCTATAGTTTTTGATGAGATTTATTTTAGTAGTTTAAGCACCTACTGGAGAATAAAGCAATTTGTAGAAGAAAATAAAAACAAAAAAATAATCTTAGCAACAGGAGACACAAAGCAATTAAAACCTATTCAACCATTAACTAACATTCAAGAGTATGAAGTGTATGCTGACCATATCATCAACAATATATTTACAAATAGTATATTGTTAAAAGAATGTAAGAGGCTGAAAACAAAAGAGGATTTAAAAAAAAAAAAAAAACTACAAAATGTAAAAACTGATATTCTTGTTAATAAACTTCCTTTCAAAATAGGAATTGAAAAATATTTCAGATATACCACTAGCATAAGTGGCTCAAAGCATAACATTGCCTATTTAAATGATACTTGCAAGAATGTAGCAAGTGAAATTAGGAAACTGGAAAATAGAAAAGATGAATATGAAGTGGGGGAATTTTTGATATGCAGAGACTACACTAAAACCCCTACATCAGTATTTAATGTAAATTTTAAATATGAGATAGTCCATATTGGAAAGGATGGTGTTATGACATTGAAAAATACTAAAACTAATATACTTCAATCCATTCAAACTAAGAAGGTAAGAGATAATTTTATATTTGCTCATTGCACTACTTGCCATTCTGCGCAAGGTAGTAGCATAGATGGAGATATAACAATATTTGATTATAACCATTTTGACATTAGAAATTATACGGAGTGGTTATGGACAGCAATTACAAGAGCAAGAGATTTTAACAAGGTAAAGTTTTTTAAATATAGTGATGATGTAAATGATGAGTCTCTGATGAGTTCAATTATAAATGTATGAAAAGTAAATATGAAAGAAAACTAGAAAATTACAAGCAACAGGACAGGAAAGCAAAAAGAACAATACCAAAAAAAGGCTATGTAAATGTTCAATGGTTTTTTGATAATGTAACCAACCAATGTAAGTACTGTGGGTGTGGGTTTCATACAATTATTAAAGGGGGAAATATAACAACAAATTTAACTGCGCAAAGGGTAAATAATGATTACACCCATACACTGGAGAATATAATACCATACTGTGATAGATGTAATAGAAGTTGTGGAAAATACTAAGTATGAAAATATACATATATACATTCATATTTATATTTTAAAAAAATCAAGGTCCAGACCATCAACTCTGCTTCTTCTCATCGTTCAGGATGCTGACAGGGGGGTCCAAGGGGGTGGGTTAAAGGGGTTTATTAAAAATATTTCTTTTTGAAAAGTATTTAAATAAATATTAAGAATAATAATGTATAATCTTAATACATATTCTTTAATATAAATTTTCTATCAACATAACCATGCCCGACAATTTACCACAGAAATTATAACATATTTTTTGGGGGGATAATGGTTGGGCATGGTTATGCTGTTTGATTTTTTTGAGGGTTGAGGGTTGTTGTGGTTTATGGGGTTTTGTTTGTTGATTATTTGTTTATGTAATTTTAGCGGGTAATATTTCAACAAGATTTATCTTGTTGAAATATTGGATGTTCTTTTTTTGGGGTTTGAGTTTATGGTTGATTGTTATGATTATTGATTGTGATATTTTTGTTATGGGTTATGTTGATGATTTTGTTGATGTTTTTTTTGAGGGGATGTGTGTATGTTTGGGGTTGTGAGGGTTCAGGGTTCAGCGTTGGAAGATGGGCAAGGCCCATTCTAACTGTTATATATGATGTCCTTTCCATCCAAACCTGTCGAACACAGGACACCCTCCCGCCGCAACTGCTCCCGCCGCTCCCGCCGCTCCAACAACTGCTTCTTTCCGTCGTCGCCTGCAGTTGGATCCGCCAGGCTTGGCCACTCTGCCCTGCGAGGCGCCAGAACTTCCCGCGTCCCAAGGAATCGGGACCACAGACCTCGAGGGATCGACCGGATCGCACGGTGAGAGGAGAGACACGACCGAGGTGAGGTTCTTGTCCGGACCGGACGAGGGGGGTCTGAGGGTTTCTGCAGGACTTTGGAGGGTGAAATGTGGTTGAACCTTCGAGGTTCTTTTTGGGTGTCAGGGTCAAGAGAGAGAGAGGGCGTGGACACTCGAAGTGCTCGGACTAGCTAGGCGAGCTGCTATGCAATCACAAATGGATTGGGTAGAATATGAAATCTTGAGATTTAGGAGTCAATGTTCAGCTGGATCTTTGATGCCGGGCAGGGGCAGTGCAGTTTCAGTAGAATATGGGATTCTGTACATTTCTGTACGCTCCAGCAAGCCAAGGCTTCAACATCTCCAACACACCTGCACTAGACTCAACACATCTTGACCACAAACCATGCTAAGCATTCGTCTAGGTAGCCTTCATGTATATCGTGATGTATGTTCATGCGCTTGCCCTTATTGCAAAAACGGGAAAGCCGTTCGATGTCAGGAAGTCGAAGTCACATTGGACATTTCGCGCATCGGTGGCGCCTGGATCATCTATGACTTTGTGGATAAGACCTTTGATACAACAGAGCCTCAATCAGAACAAAGGATGCCAAGTATTTCCAAGGACAAATGGCCTGGACGACCACGCAAAGCCCCAAAGGCCCCCCAGAGGCGGCTCTTTTTGGCCGGGCCGGCCGGCCGGAACTGCATGGCTACCGCCCTTCTCGGCTGGATAGATGGCCTGGAGTGTGAGATGGGGCTCAAAAAACCTTAGGTGTAAGGGACCGACACTCCCTGAAATGATCATGGACATGGAAAGTAGGCCCTGGAAGAGCCATTTTCCTCCACAAAAGAGGTGGTGTGTGACTCAGAGGGTCTCACCCTGTGTCTCACCTGTCTCAACCCATACACCCCGTGGTGGCGGGGTGGCGGATGCTGTGGACTATCCAAAGTGCCCACTTTGGTGAACAACTTACAGTCGAGTCTTGCGATACTTCTGAAAGAAAACATTCTGTGCCACTTGAGATGTAATTATACAGTATACATGTTTGCATTTTACAGATGGCTTGTCCGGTTGTTTTCCATATGATCACGTTCAACTTCAGGGAAACCCTCTTGGCAGTTTCACAGTCAAACTGCACCAATTTCTATACTAGAGTCGCTAGTGTTTGCCTACTCTGGTATGTTTATAAGCTTAAAGCCTTTTTAAGATGTCAAACAATAAGCAGCAAATAGCAGCAGTGTCAATTCTCTTGTTGCAATCATCTGGCGGAGTGTACCATCTACATCTACATATAAGTACTATGAAACCTTCGAAGCTTTGGATGTCATTTCCACTTTAAAACTCCGAGATCCATTCTCCCCTCACCGCGTCCACTTGTTCCCATGTTCCTACTGTTCCATCTGTCCGTCTCCATCCATTCTCCACCGCCCCCGACCGCAGCGCGTTGGACCCTCCGTGCGCCCGACCGCAGCCTGCAGCACGTCCGCATCGCGCAGGAATTGGAACTCTTCGAGGTCCTGGATGCCGATCCTGGCCGCAACGAGTGAGGCGGAAGCCCAGCCCGCGGCCACGGAGAGAAACCCCTGCAGCGCGGTGGGTGTGTTGGCTTGAGAGAAGCGATGCGTCTCACAGTAGCCGCCTTATGATAGATACATGTTGATACCAGATACAAGTGCCCAAAGAATCCCCTCTGTCATGACTTGGTGTAAGATTCAGCTTTCTACTATCTACCGTCGTGCATGGTCATGTCATGGATAGCAGGATACAAGGCGATCAGAGACATCGATGTTGATAACAATATAACAGAACAGGGCCGGCAGCAAGAACTGCAGCAAAGCAGAATTAGATGGAGCAAATGTTGATATTATGTAGGCAAGAACGGAAGGTTTCAATGAAGCGTTCAGTACAAACAATGCATATAAAAATGATCAAAAATGTCAAAATAGAAAGAGTTCCCTCAAGCTATCTAACATTGTGCAGCATTTCTGGACGATTGCAGATTAATTGAGTATCATTGAGTAATGCCTTTGTTCAATTGTCGCTTGGTGGAGTCTTGTAAACGTTTGCGCATAGGTCACATACGTCAGAGTTGCTGGAGCCAACCGTCAGAGTTGCCACGTTGGACGTCGCTGTTCCTCTGGTTCGGTGTATCGGTGGCCAGGTGGCGATGGTCCGCCCAGTCTGACCACCTGATTCGGTTGACCAGTCTGACCCGAACAAAAACGCCTCGAACCACACCAGCGAAGCGAAGAACCAAGGAGGCACCACATGAAACAGCAGGTGCTTTCAACCTCAAATCTGAAGCAGTTACAAGCTGTTTACAGCTGAACAGCTCAAGGATGAACCTGAAGCAGTTCTGCTTAGAAGGTGCAGCTATCGTCTAATGTCCTCTGAATCGTCTATCGTCTACCGGGTAACGTCTCCGAAAGTTTAAGATCCGATCTATGTCAAAGCTATGGACATGGGAATCTAATAGCAATGACCTCCAACCTACTAGCATCTTGTTCCTAGTAGAAATGCCGTTTGTTACTAGTAGTTTTTTGCTACTAGTAGCGATGCCAGGAGCTACTAGTATCAACAACCTTACTGTAGTCCAAGATCCAGACATGAATGGTTTCTTCTGCACGATCAACGATTTATTTCGAAAGCTGTTCAAGGGACAATACAATCACTGCTACTCTTTCCAGGGTTGGTGGCTCCTCTCCAAACACGGCATAACCCTTTCGCACCTCACGGTGGATTCGTAGAGCTCCCCCTTGCGCAGGGGCACCATCTCAAAGGGCCTGGTCCAACCCCAGTTCGGAACACGGAGGGTCCGGGAGGGCTCTTCAGCTCTCACCTTCAAGCCTTGCTGCGAGGCTAAGATCGAGAACCGCACTTGTAGGCCGTCCAGGAAGCCACGATGTAGTAGCTGTGTCGCACGACCTCGAAAAAATAGAAAAGAGATCCGGCAAGCGATGAGCAAGAGATCCAGTAGCATCCTCTTCAACTCCCCATGCAATGTTGCATCATTTGGGGCCAAGCTCTACGAGCGCAAATGCAAAAAGCTGCCTGAGTATATAGGTACACGAGCAAAACCTTAAAGAACCGCAAAGAGTGTTTTTCCTCTCTTGCTTCGAGGATACCAAAACCCAATAAAGCAAGAATATCGAACTCGATCCCCATCTGAGGTCATAAGCAGACCTTGAACAGACCTGTAAAAAGCTTCGCACTAAGGTACCACATGCATCTCATCGCATCTCTCAGGACTCGTTTTCTCCGATCACTTCACCTTCTACCTTCTCCTTCTACTCGGTGTCTCCAAATCACTGGACCCGCAACGGAGCACGGGCGCCCGCGGGGCAACTCAGCGCACGGGACGAGCGACCGCGACGAGCGACTCGCTGGGCCTGCCTTGATCGGCAGGTCCGAAGCCTCCACCACCTCCCAAAAGACCCTGGCAGCGGGGTGACGAGTCCAGTTGCGGTCTTTTTAGGTAGTTCGAAAAGGAATTCCCTTGACTTGGGTGGTGCCAAGAATAGTCTTTGGACTTCTAGGGTGGAGTGAGGGTCCTCGCCCATCCTCGCCCCGAGTACAAAAATATTTCTTGAGTCAAGGGGGCTGGTGATCGACGGGTCCGGCGTGACCCGGGGGCTCCGCGAGGGGCACCGGCGAACTCGTTTCGAAGGTCGTTCCGGGTTGAACGACCGGAACGACCGGCGACCCTTCAAAGGAAGAGAAGGAGCGATGGAAGATGATGAAGACTTGTTTTCAAAAAGGACTGGTGTCGACATGTGTCGACCTACCTGACGAGTCAGCGAGGTCAGAACAAGCCCGTGGGAGACCGACAGGCATCCCACCCGACGAGTCAGCGAGGTCAGCCTGTTTGGACCGGACGGTCGTTGGTCGCTCGTTCCCTCGCCGTTTCCTCGCACATTGGGCGGCCTTCTGTTGGGTCAGAGCAAGTCTAAGAAACCTGGAAAGAAACACATATTGGGGATTTACCAATAGGGAAAGTAAAGAACCTTAAGCAAAACCATGAAGCCCATTGTGTGTGTGGCTATTCCTCCGTGGCTTTGGGATGATCCTCGACTTCCTTACGACCAACCGGCAAAGCGCGGTCAACCTGATCCGCCGAACGCTGCTTCGGGTCATCTTTTAAAGGCATCACGGATCCTCTGAAATGAACTTGGAACAGCGCATGGCGCTGGCGCTGTCCATCAGTTGTCAGCTGTAAACATATGCAACCTTAGAGGAAGCATACGCAACCTTCGATTTTGCAGTCGAAACATCGCAGGCCAAAACCGACACCTTTCTTCCCACGCTGCATCCTCCAAGAGTTGTCCGGACTTGGCACAGGCGGAGTGTCCGGCGGCGCCTGTTCAAGGATCTTGGGATAAAAATCGGTTCGGGAGCTTAGCAACTTCACCACTGCCACAGTATATTCCACTTGGGACAGTAGCCCCTCCATACTCCAGTGCTCCTTGTAGGTGTCCGCGGGCTTATAATATTCCGTCTTGATATATCGACCAATCACCTCCTCATAATAAGTGGCTGGCCGGCCAATAAAATCATGCCCAAAGAAGAACCAGCACCCCGGCACTCCATGACGTACAAAGCTCCAGTGGTCACTACGATAGAAGAGCCCCATCTTTGGTTGCTGGTCAGGGATGATCCGTAGCTTTTGGCTCTCAGCCGCTTCCATCAGCAATGGGTCCAAGGTGCTTTTGCCAAAGCCCAAAATGGCCAGATCCGCCGTCTTGCCCCACACGTTTCCCACATCAAACGCGAAGGCCGCAATTGGCTGGATCAGCTGCCCGCCCACCAGCGGATGTTGAGCATAAAACTCGGAGCCCAGCATGCCACACCTCACTTAATAAGGGAACTCGAAACTGTTGTACTCCTATCAAAATAGTGTTCAAACATGTTCAAACACTTGGGATTCAAAATGAGAGAAATAGTTGGTCAACAGCACCAAAAGTCCAAAGCTTTGGGTCCCAAAAGTTGAGGAAAACAGCCGGCGATGTCCTTTCACAGATACTCCTCTGCGGTGGGCGCCATGAAAAGCACGGAGCGGCCCAAGGAGATGTCCTTCAAGAGGCGCGCCGTCGCCAGCATCATCGCCTCGAGGGAGGGCGGGCGCTCGACGAGGAGCATGGAGCGGCGCCAATCGCATCCCTCCCGAGATGGGTGTGCTCAGTAGGGAGGACCTCCCAGGCAACGATCCCCTGGAACAACGATCCCCTGGAAGAAGGGAAAGAGGTCTGCCTTTTGGATGATGGATTTGGGGTCTGAAGGTCAAACAAAAAAAGCACTCAACCCTCCAAAAGGCAGAGGTTTACAGTGGGAACCCCACAAAGGAAATTGGAGATCCAGAGGTCCGAAAAGATTGTAACGAGGTCTGCAAAACGTGGCTTGGGACTTTCTGTCAACGAGGAACCAAATCCCTGATGTCCACATACAGGTCCCTCATGTGCACGACTTGCAGTCAAAGTACGTGTGTGCGTAGAATGCTGGTCAATAGCGTAGTCCAACTTGTCGTGCCCATTTGGAGAAAAAGTGTTGTAGTCTCACACTGGTTCATTCTTCCGTTCCTGAAGATATATCACACTTATGCAAGCACGGGCGAGGCTCATCGTGCAAACAACTGACTGGGGCCCCAAACCGCACCAGCAAGGGCACAAAATCTCAAAATGGTGGATAAGCAGGTAATGTATCTGTGTATATATATATATATGTACATCACATGCGTATATATATATATAAATCTAAGTACAAAGTACAAACAGTTGTTTCAATATAATACACTCCAACAATCCCAAACTGTTCAGGCCAGTCCACCTTGTTTACGCACTGGTCCGCCATTCCATCCCCCAAACAACAAACAACCCCAGCCAACTGGTTCACCACTAGAGAGACCTTCGAACCGGTGGGCATTGGACAACCACCGAGTGGCCACGCCAGTGCAGTTGTCCACCGCTCCGTTATAGATTTCATTGCCTTGTTCTCCCAGGTGGTCATGGTGCCCAGCAATGACCACCACCTCGCGAGGGGCCACATTGCCAGAGATGAGCCCGAGCACGTTCCGGCCCTGCGGTTTTACTGCGCAGGAAGTGGGAGGAAGCAACTCTGATAGCGCTGGATTGCAGGATAGGATTCATAAATGTTGTATTAATACATATAATATATATATATACATATGTGTGTGATCTGCTCGCTCGAGTTTTTACATGAGTGTCCCGAAGCAATGTAAACGGTCAATGAAAAAACATGGTGAAATCGCACCTCAAGGCAACCAAAATCGAAAAGCCAATCCCCAAGCGTTCTGGGTGCGTTCTTTTTCCTGTACCACAAGTCTACCAACGGGGTCGTGTTTTTTGAAACACGTCTACGACCGTCCAAGCCCAACATCCAAAAAACAAATATTACAGCATAGACCCTAAACAAGTTCAGCGCAGTTTTTATGTCAGCTCCTTGAATTCCAATGCGGTGGAAACCTTTGTACTTACATTCCCATAATTTCCTATAGGCTCCAGCTGCTTGAAAACAGCATGTAAACAAAAATGGGAGTGGGAAACAGGATGGTATCAAACTTGAACTGCTGCATCACTGTTGCATTCATAGCCACCAAAAATTGCCGGACAAGGGCGGTGAAAAAATAACAATTAAAAACATTTAAAAACGAAAACAGCGCCGCAAGGCCCGGACCAGGCGGAGAAGACAGGGCCCACAGCGCCAAGCAGGACACACGGCACCCGTGACAAGGCGGTGAAGAAAGGGCGACAAGGGCCACAGCTATTGTGGCCAGCCCGAGACAACCCCAACAGTAAACGGATGTCTTCCTCAAGCGGCCCAACGACAGGCCTGGCGTGGTCTTTAAAAAGAATAAGAAATGAATCCGCGCCGCCAGGATCGCCGTGCCGCACCTGGAAGCGTCGGAGCTGATATTCCACCTCATGAGAGATGCGGCCCACAGTGAAGGGCTGGAAGTCGGACTTGCTGGCCTGGCCACAAAGGTCTTCATTCTTCAAACATGATGGTAACCACAACCACAATCTGACACACCAACATGGAAGTAGAGAATGGCCCTGTTTCATGACTTAGTGAAGTGCAAAACGACAAGAAACAATAAACTTGTTGTCCGCTTCTATGTTTGCAAGTCCTTTAAAGCGAATCTGATTCGGTCAGAGGCACACGCCTCTGTGCACCAGCTCTGCAGAGTGCCACCAAAGGCCTCCGCCAGTTTTTCTCCTCAGCATGCATCGGTTTTCCGGAAAGCTTGAGGAGTCTGGTTCAAGGGTCAAATATCAGAGCTCCCAAATTTGGGGCCTGCAAGGCTCCAAACTCCGCCCGAAACCAGGCGACTCAGGAGAAAGGCGTCAAAAGCCCAAGAGAGGCATCTGCCCCATCTCAGCGAGGTGGTGCCTGTTAGACAGCTGACACTCCGCCAGACAAGGCCTTTCAGAAGAAACCGCCGCGCGTGGTTTTACAACAAAATTTTGCCACCCAAACCGATGAAGAGTGTTATGCACTGAAAGTAACTATTTTAGAGCCATGGCCTCCCTTTGACCAGAGATGCGATGAATCAAGACTTGGTCAGTCGCCATTCGCGACTTTCAGAGCTAAACCCCTCTGCTAAACTGACCAACCACGGTGCTGTATTTCGATCTGTGGCGCATTGCAGGATGGGGAAGCGGCGATCCGATATCTTCGGCGTCTTCTTCCGCGTTACACGGGTATCAACACATGATTTCAGGGCGGTCAGCAGAGTGAATGTCTTTCATACAAAAGCGCAAGAAGTAGAGTTGGGCGCAAGGAGTTGAGTGGGCAACTACTCAAGTGCCCAAACTTGTTTTGAGTGTGTGCCTTGTTTGAGTGAGTCTAGTATGATATGGTGAAAGATTGAACCTCTCGACTCCAGGCCTGCATCAGGAGCAGTTCACGGATCTTTCGCAGATGAATCAATGGCCAACATGATCCAAGATGAAACACCCAACTCTATATATAATGTACTACTGTACTACGTCAAACACACCCGCAACCAGGCAACGACCGAACAACGCAAAGAGAACAGCGTGCCCCTTGGGGCATCATCCTGAAAATCACCATCTGCAACTGCAAGGAGCCCATCGGGGCCACCCCATCGAAAACCTCCCTTGGCTTGGGTTGTTGTGCAACTGTCCGAAAAGGCCTTAGCACCTTCTCCTCTTCTTTCCAAGTCGCAGAAAACCCTATCTCCCTTGCCTCAACCAAGTATCCCATCCTTTGGCTCAACCAGCCCTGCAGCATCAATGGATTCACCTGGTCGAAATAACACCAACCCAGTCAGATTTGCTTTGGGATGAACGGCACCCACTGCTCAGACATGTGGTTTCACATCACGGGTGTTGACCGAATTTGGGAGCCTGTTTCGGTTTGGAACTCCAAACCGAGGTTCGTGCGGACGGAGCCTCTTCGTGCCTGGGGGGGTCTTTTTCAGACAGCAACTTATGGGTTTGGGACGCCCAAAAAGTAGAAACATGAAAGAACATGAAGGAAGGACCCCAAAAAACACCGAAGACAGGGGGCCTATGTTGAAATTCTAGGATTCGTCCACAGGACTCAGGACGTGGCAACTGTTGATGAATTGTCCCAAAGTTTTTGCCACGTTTAGCCACTTCTGTAGCAGCTAGTGACAACGCGTCTGAGCATTGGGAGAAGTCACTGAGCAAAAAGCACATCAAACATTGACTTGAAATGACTTGACAGTGGTACAGCGCACGTCACTACATAGAGTGAAAACACCCTCCCAAAACGAGTGTAGGAGAATAAGCCGAGCCCAAAAAAACAACAGCTGGTGCCGCCTACTAAGGAATGGCACCATCGCAAGTTCACCAGCAAGTGTCGTGCTTTTTGCCTATTAAAACGCGAGCCTTTTCAATGTGTCATGCGAGCATGCCAACACGGTGATACGTCGGCACAGCACATATCATGTGCCCACAGGTCACGACAACGCCACTACAGGCAAGATCCGGAACCCGGAGCCCACTCTGAATTTTGCCAGCAAGTCAGCACGACGGCATGGCCCGACTTCGGCATCTCAGCGTGACAACATCTCGCAATTCGCAATATTAACGGGACCCATGCCAGCACGCCAGCATGGAAACGTGTCAGCATGACACCACACAGGAACATCAGCGTGACAACGCGAGTCATGCCGGCGTAGCGGCGTGGCAACACATGCTTGAGGCAGGCCGCTTGGTCATGACAGTCTTTTTCGACAATGCATCCAACCATTCTCTGATCAAGTGGAAGCCTGTTCCGGAACCTCCTGCTCGGGAACCTCCTCCGCAACCTGCTCCGGAATTTGCTCCGGAATTTGCTCCTGAACCTCTTCCGGGACCTGTTCCGGGACAGCTCCTCCTGCGGAACCTGCTCCGGAACCGGTGCCCGAGCCTGCTCCGGAACCTGCTGCGAAGTCTATAACTGTGGCTGAAAACCCCTAAGCTTCGCTGTTGGGGGGAAAAGAAAGAAAGAAAAAATCCTCTTCTGGCAATGTTCATGTTTTTTTGGAATGGGGTACAGTAGACAACTGGCATGATCTAGCTCACTTGCCTGTTCCTTCTCCAAGGAGACTTTCTCTCCTTTGTAGCCAGTCTGTGTAACACTCCAGGGATAACCAGCAAATTCTTCACCTCAATTTCAGCATCAACGGCGAAGCTTACTGCTCCTCAAAAGCATGGAAATCACACAAATCACTGCGCAATCTGACAGGTGATTCGACAGCTTGGCAATCATAAACGCTTCCAAAACGGTTTTCACACTTTTGGCTGGGAAATCAACAGCATCACCCAAAAAGTCAAACAAAAGGCATAGCCATGCATAGTCCCTCAATCAAATCAAGTGGCTAAAATGGATGATCAAACACCCGGCTGCCCCTCGCCGTCTTGCCTCTTCAAGCTTATAGGACCAGCGGCCATAGTATAGCATATCATCACTTGGGAAGGGCGGAACTTGTGGTTGGTTGACCAAAACCTGTACAAGAACGAACCGCTGAAAAAAAATGCGCTTGTATGGATTTATGATGATCTATGTGGCTTTTTTGGGGTGACCTGAAACTGGCAACTTCTGCTTTCAGAGGGTGGAAAAGTGTACAGAATGACAGGTCAAGAGGCCAGAATGACTTTGCCAACCATGCTTTGCTCCTTAAAGTCATCCCAACTCAGTTCTGGCGCCTTGACGCCATGCCCCACAAAGACAAGGTCGCTTTCCAGCGATGACAGGATCTCGCTCTCGCCACAGTCCGTTGGATCCATGGAATGGACATAATCATCACCTTATCCGTCCAAGATCCGTTTCAAGTACAGTTGTTTCAGAGGTTCGATGGCACTGGCACCCCAAGATGTCCTTTAGAGAGGGGTCCATATAAACCACCGAGCTTGGGGATTGTGCCATCTACTCTGAACCCACTGTAAGATCAAGTAAGTGAACTGGGGGTCATACATAGTTGCAAGATGTTGCAAGCCAACAGTTGTCTTTCGATGACTGACGATTCCCCTCTGAAACCAACACCCTAGTGTTCCTAAACTCTTCGGCGGGTTCAGCGTGCCCCCATGGTCTACCACGCTTATTTCTTCAGTCTAAAGAAAGTGATGCTCTCCGCAGCTCAGGTCGCCAAATGTCCCCGTGATTTGAAAGTCCTTCACCTTGAAACCAAGCCTTGAGGTCTCTTCTTTCACAGTCAAGCCAACCATCTTCACCTCAGTTTCAGACTCCCGAAAAGACCAAAAACAGGAGGTTTCTGAGTCATCAGACCAAGTGAAAAATGAAGATGATATGTATCTGATTGAAAAACATATGAAGACAAAAAGCAGTTCGCCGTTCCATATTCTATAAATTTGATTTATACTGTAAAATGTGTAAAGGAACGCAGGGCTGTTCCAAAAAAATTAGTTAATTCTGCGATGCACTGCTGCTTGCAGGGTTACCGAGTTACCTGACTTTCTGTAGCTCTAGATAGATGGGAGGTGTACCAAAAAAGGAAGGGCAAAGCAACTTGGCGTAGGTAAGCCAGGCTCTAGCACCAAAAAGACCTTTCCAGCTCCCAGTGGCTGTTTGAAAATACGTGCCATCCTCGCCTGCGGGAAGGCACCCGATCTCCTCCATTTCGCTGGCCACGAAGGCTGCAGCGACCTCTTCTCCAAAGGTACCGGGCTTGCGACCTCTCGCGGCTCCAGAACATCTGGTTCCACTCGCAACGTGAGGATTCGTGGAGAAAACCCCCCCCTGGTGGAGTACGCACTCCGTGTACGCGGTCAGTGTACGCGATCAGTGTATGCGGTCAGTGTACGGGTCGACTCCAGAGAGGCCATATCATAAGCGGCTTATGATGAGCCTCCTGGAACTCGGCTCTGCCCCACTGTAGATGGATCGACTTTGATCCAAAAAAAGCTGCAAGCCTATCGCCTATCAAAGCATCAAGCCTATCGCCGATCGCCTCGCCTTTCAATGCGTCATCTGCCAAAAAGCGAATGTTCTGCCGCATCCGCCGTGCCAACGGAGTCTCCTCGTGGTCAAGCTTGAGCCGTTTGCATTGCAGCCCTTCCATCAGATCATGGACAGCGGAGGTGCGGAGGCTCTCACATACTCACTCAGTTTGACACACAAGCTGAACATCCTGAACCTATCTGGGTTGGTCAAAGGTGAACTGCTGCCCAAATCCATTGCTTCAACCAACGAAGCTTTCGGGGGTCGTCCTCATGAAAGGGGCGTCGCAACCCAACGTGGGAATAGTCTGAATAGTCGTTGTTTTGCCATCTGGGTCCTTCTGCTACTATGTTGGTAACGGCTCCATTGTATCATCGGCCATCTGTGCCATCTGTACCATCTGTGCTGTCCTGTCTCAAAAACATCGGCCGCTCTTCGATCCAAAATGAGGTGCGTCGATGCGGCGAAAAGGTGTGTAACTCGCAGAGGGGTGGTGGACGTGCTCTGAAGAGTACACTGCAGTGGCAGTGAAATATATACAGGCATCAAAGTGGATTTGGCTCTGGTCAAAACAGAACATGACAAAAAGAACAAGCCAACCAGGGTTGGGTCAACGCAATACACTCATCAAACATCCGTTTGTCCAACTCCAACATGCAGTGGCGAGTAACACCCATTCCTGCACCTTTTGCACAAACCTTGAAGCTTTCTTTTGGGAACCAAGAATCCGAGCGTTCCCACAGTTCCTACTGCCAAGGCGCTCTTGGGCTACAGCACAAGAAGCTACGAACTTCTATCTATTTGGGACCCACTTATACACAACAGTCAAGACCCAAGACTCGTATATGGGATCCTGCAGCAGATGGCGCAGGCGCAGCTTCTTCCCTGGCCTCTTCTTCCGGAGCTCTTCGTTCCACTGCAAACTGATGCGGTAGAGTGCATGAGGCTTCACCTCCCGAGGCCCGAGCCCAACCAGTCCGGGAGGCCAACCGGTCCAACCAGACCAGGCCATCGGTGATTGAGTGTTTGCTCAACTCAGTGATGTTTGGTTTGAGTCATGAAACTGGTCCGGTCTCTTCGGTTGCTCAAAGCAATTTCTGTTTTCTCACTTGGTAATTTTCGGTGATGTTCTGTTGCTTCGTTTAGGTTGGAGCCCATCGCCGCCATGTTCGCTTCGTCTCTCGCCTTGTCTTTCCGTCCATCGATCAGCCAAGTGTGGCCTCCGCTGACCGCCCCAAGGGATCGGCTGTTGTCCTTTGAGGGGCTCCTACTAGTAGCGATGCCAGGAGCCCCGTTCGTAGCGTCCTTGTTGCTAGTAGTAAGGCCAGGAGCCTCTAGCAGCGTCCTTGATCCTAGTAGTCCAATTCCATTGTTTGGGGGAGGGTAGCCTTCGCAAATGGCTGTGCCACATAGGGATGAACTCTTTCTTATATTGGGACGGCTAGGAGTCGAACATGGCTGTGTCCCGAACTTTGCTCCTCCAACACCTTCAAGTAGCTGCATCCCCGTTTCACCAACAAGGTGTTGCATCGGTCTATTGACGTCTATCGGCATAAAGGGTCCAAATCTCATTTACACCCAATATTGACCAATCATTTGGACCCGGTCTTTCTTGCTCTTACCCGCCCCAAAGCCGCGGTTGAAGCACCGCAATCTCCACCGTGCTCTCCGGTCGCGCCCCGTTCCACCAGCGCGTCTTCTTCTCCGCTCCGTCCCACGAGTGCGACACGCCAAAAATAGCATCGGTGTCGTTTTTCCTCCGCTTTCAAAGAGGCTCCCAGGTCGCCAAACAATCCGTCCCGTTGTGGGATCCGCCAAAATAGCTTCTCCTCTGAATGTCGAAAGGGGTCTTCATGTCCACCTGCCAGGCAGAAACCAATGCAAACGAGGACAAAGCAGCGACCAGGTGGAGAACCAGAGGCTTCTAAAGGGACATGGTTTTCAGTCCATGATGGTCGATCGATGATGTGACTTCGATGTAAAATAGTGCTCAAAAAAGACACGCACACGCAATCACACGCAAATCATTGGCTTTAAAGTATTCGGGCCAGGTGCTGTTTCACGATCAAGAACACCTCTCGATGCAGGGGGAAAATAAAACAAGGCACCTCGTAAAGGTACGGGAAGATCCGCTGTAGAAGCTGGACGACTTTCTGCACTCGTCGGTGTCCAAGAAACATGGGATGCAAAGACACCAAGACCGTCGGCCGTTTTTGCCGGAAGAAGGACTCCAGAGCAGGCACGATGACTTCTTCATGTCCCTCTGTGTCAATCTTTACGAACGAGACCTCGCGGATACCCGGCATCCTGAGGTAGAGGAAAATGGATATAAGAAATGGTGCAAAGATTTACAGTAAATCCAGTTGATACTAGACCTGTAGCCTATCTATGCCTATCTTAATATCCGAAAAAATTGTCTGGCATGACTTCCAGACATGAAGAAAAGATGAGTCCTTTGGAATATTTGGACGAGTCGTTGAGTGAAAACCCTCTGAGGGCCCAAAATGCTTTCAGAGTTCTGATCCACTCATTTCCTCTAAATGCCTCCTGGGTGCTCGTCTTGCAGGTCTTCAATTGTCCGCGCCTTCACATGACCCAGCTTCCGACGATGCCGGCGGTGCCGGCGGGGTCGGGGAGGCCCCAAGTGAAGCTTGTCCTCCGAGTCGCCAGAGTTTTCAATCTGCATCTCCATGTTGCTCCTGTCTTCGGTTCGCCATGAGCTGACGGGGGGACGATGGTGAAACAGAAGCATAAACAAATCAAACCACAAGAGTTTGCCCTTGGCTCCTATGCAAGGCTGCATGAACCGCAGAGACCCGACTTGATATGAACAATGGATTTGAGTTGAGGTTGGCAACCAGCTGGCAATAGGCCGTCGGGGCAGGCTCTACGGCAAAGACATGTTTGGCAAAGTTCGCTGACCACAGAACCGTTGGACCTGAAGCGCGGCACAAACGGGTCGACAGCAGGGTCGACGGGTCGACATTGACGGCAAAGACGGCAACGACCAGACGAACGGCTGCGGAACGGGAGAAACAGGAGTGTCTGAAAGCGTGGCTGAAAACAACGGCCCAGCCTATCCATGCGCCAATGTCTAAAACATATCTCCCAGGGACCATGCGCCGAAAGACTTCAAAGGTGTCCGGCTCCCATTTGGGATAAACCTTCCGAAGCCACTCCGCCCAGGGAGTCAGAGCGTCAAAGAAAATGGGCACCCCTTCCTTCTGGGCGCTGGCAGAAATCGACCAGAACTTCGGGATTGCAAGCTCATGAGTCCGGTTGCAGCACTGGCAAGGCTCCTTATGAAGCGTTTTCTCAGCATACTCCTCCCCGCAACATCTTTGTGGAGTGAAGGTCTGGTCCCAACAGCTTGCATTGCCATATGGCCCAAACCAGGGTCCGCAACACTCCTCGTACTGGAAGCCCTCCCAGCAAGCTGGGTCATGCGCGGTCCGCCGCGCGGTGCCCGTCGATGACAACAGCAAAGAGAAGAGCTTCATTGCACATGGTTGCGGGCTGATTTGTGAAGCTACCCTGATCCTGATGCACTGGTCAGATTGGCTCCAGCCGAATCGGTTGATACCAAGCCAAATGACTTCTCTCTTGACTCCACACCTAAAGCACAAGAAACCTCCACTCCTAAGTTTTGTGGCGAAGTTCCCTACATCCGTTTACAAACTCCATGATGGAAAATTGGAAGTTTGCAGCTCGGACATCCGGTGAAGTGGCGCTGCGAATCGCCTCCAGACCGCACCGAGACCGCCTTGTGACCGCCTACCGCCTACCGCGTCGCGTCACCTCTGGATCCCGGGCCGCTGGGAGCGATGCCTGGGCCCAGCACCACGGCCTGGCGACGGGATGTGTGACGTCGGTTTCGAAAAAGAAAAAGAACACCCCAAAAGTCGATCTGCTCTTCAGACCGAAAGAGTCACCGTTTTGCACACATGCTGGCCACCAACAGGGGAGAGCTGCAGAGCCTCCCCTAAGTCCAACCACCAACACTTCATTCAAGCAAAGGTCCAACCGGGTTGCCTTGCTGCATGCGTTCGAAGGGAGGGTTGGCGATTCTTTGCACCCCTTTGCCCTCAACCGAAACCTGGTTTGTATTGCTCATGCAATCTGATATATAAGGGTGTCCAAGCCAAGTGTGGCTTGGAGGCCTCATGTGGCTTGATGTGGGTTCGGTTGCGGGACGAACGATCCATCAGCATTTGTTCAAAGCAACCTTATAAGCTTGATAGGCCAGCATGTGCGTGTACTGCATGATGGGGATAGTTTCAACAGTGTGTTGGACACTGTCAAGATTGCACGGCAACAGTGTCTCAGTCCTAAGGACTGACTAAGGCTTTCAGGATACTGTTGGAGCTGGAGCGCCAGCCCTTCAACCCGGCGTCCCATCATCAACCAGAGCTTGGACGTCCAGCCATGGCTGCCATTATGAGGGCCTCCAGAAACATCTGCTGAAGCTACTGACCACATGAACCACGCAACACTGTCCTGATCGTAAAGCTTTCAAGTTGGTAAAAGGCCTATTGAGGTCCCACGCAAAATCTTCGAACAAAAGCTCGCATGCTAACGGGCCAAAACCTGCTCCACTGCGTGTCTCTTCATGTCTCTTCCAGGTGCCTCCTTCAAACAGAACAAGGAACCCAACGTCACACGTCACACCTCTGTTCCCCCAGAAAAAGCCGCCCCCCGCTTCGCCTCCACACTCCCGCGGACTGGGGGTCCGCTTTTCGTGGACCCCACACGCGGCGCCTGCTCATCCGCCAGCTGAGTGGCTGGAAAGATCTTGAGGTCGTCAAACCTCGGCGTTTTCGCCGCTGGCCAGGCTTGAGGCGCTGACCCCCTCGCCTCCTCTCCGAATCTGGGAGTCATGTGTCTTCAGGGCCAAAAGGAAGAACTCGGTTGGGGGTTGATGTGTGTTTGTGACTGGAAGCTGACAGCCAAGCAGAACCACCCCCTGATTCTCCGGCCAAGCAGTTTGCTGCCAACGTGAAATGTTAGAATCTTTGGGATCATCAGAGATCTCGCTTTCTTGGCAGAATTGGCACCCACCCATTTCGCAAAGATGATGCTGGAAACGTTCTGAGGTGCGCACCCGTCACAAGAAATTTGGAACTGCTCGCACAGCGCCTGGAGAGAAGGCAAGCTCATGCCTTGTGACAAGGAACAAGAAAATCCTCAAGAAATACCTGAAGAGACGTGGTATGCCCAACAGATCCGAGTGTTTACAGGCCTCACGGAATGTTGTCCATCAACAAGCAATGCTTTTGCTGACAAAGGGTGGCTCATGGCCCACGGCCCCCCCGAAAAAAACGATACCATAAGATACCCAGTTGTGCGGCGATGCAAAACCACATAAAAGAGACTGTAAGACAGGAGGATGCTGGTTGAAGTCCTCAGGTTCCCTGACAGACCGCATCTCCCGGATCCCGTCTTCCAATTGCTAGCGGCGCAAAGTGTGTGAAACTTCACGTCGGCCACCACACGTCGGCCTCGCCCATCATGATGGCATAGCAGTGCGACTTGGAGGATGGGTCCCAAGTCCTTGACCACGCGCCGTACGGCGTGCTTCACGGCGTACGGCGCGTTATACGGCGCGTGCGTAAGGCGTAAGGCGAATGACAGCGCCGTGTTTTGGCAGAAACGGCGGGCAGAGATGGGGGAGAGTCGATGAGAATCTGGTGGTACAGGGTTCTGCCTGGTTTCATCCTCACGTTCACAGGGCATTGGAAGAAAGGGCCCCCTTTACGCATGAAGAAGGATGAGGGCGGAGTTGTTGAAGGCCAGCTTGTTGGCTTGGGGTGTCCCTGTTTTAGTGCAGGGCATCTATCTGGCATTCAACTTGCCGCTGCTGCAACCGAGACTCTCATAGACTCTCTCTATCATTATGACGTTCGTCTAACTCCCTGCAGAACGCCGAGATCGTGCGAGATCCCACCTGAAGCACTGAAAACCTGATGCGCCCAACCTGATGCGCTGGAAGAACCAGGCATGCTCCAGACAACTGAGATCAGAGCATCTTGCCGTAGGACCAACCATTGGCACTGCTCACAACGAAGTACCTAGCTCAATCATGCTCAATGGCGCAGGTGGCGGATCAGCACCAAGGAAATCTCGGCACCAAGAGGATTGGTTCACCATAAGACTGGCTCGCTGAGCGACAAAAAATAGAGTCGGCAGTATGGGGTCCAAGCAACTGCAGCAATACGAAGCTCCATGTAGAAAAATGTGTCCCTCTAAATGTGTATTGGAACCGCTTTTTCTGACACCACCAGCAAATACGACAAGAGGATGTCGAATGGATTCGGCTCCGTGCACGCCTGAAACACGGGGTCGTTTCAGCACCGGTGCCACCGGTTTTTGTTCGGAAACACCGGTGGCGGTTTCGGGTCCGGGCACTCCGTCTTGCCCTGGAGCTTCGCACCTAGCTGTTGGCTTTGACCAAAGAGGAGCACCATTATATACTGCTTTCGAGTATATAAGACCATGGGATCCAACAGGGGAATGGGTTCATGAAGAATAGCATTTCGATGAATTTATGTTCATCCGTTCATACCAGGGTATACAGCAGCTTGGCTCGACAGCATCTACAATCTACAACACTTCATCCGAAGATTGGCCCGTTTTTAGCGACATGTTTGCCAAAAAGAGAAGCAGCGAAGCAGCGAACTCCAGTCCAGGAAACGTTTCGATGAGGACAATAAAAAAAGCAACATGTGTCGTGTGAGTCTGTCTGTGTGAGCCAAGCAAAGGGGAGTGGAAGAAGAAAGAGAGGAAAAGCGAGCAAACCAATTGGCAGGGTAAACCAGAAACCACGAGAACTGGAGTTCTTGCACTCTACACTCTGAGTCCAGTGCCAACCGTGTACTCACCTCACCATGGCGCAACGACGCACACTTTTTTGTGCGGCCCCCCTTTTGATTTTATATTTGAAACACAGTGGAAGATTCATGTGTGACACCCACGTCATGATTTGGTCAAAACCCTTTGACATGCCACAAAATGGCCATGCGCGGTCCAACCAGCCCCGTTACTGCTTCTTCAGGTTATGGAATACAAATCTAGCCAGGTGAAAAATGCGCTTTGGATAAACGAACATGCAGAAGACTTAAGAACGATCAAATGCATTTGAAAAGCATTCATTGTGGGTTCTAGGTGTTGACCCAACTCCTAGCCTTAAGCTTAGTGGAAGTTTGCAGCTGAATGGGATGAAGCTGACAAAGATCAGACATTGGGGTTGCAGCTGAACCCAAAAGACGACAGGGCATTTTGGTCTCGAAACCACCTTACTTCCCCCTCTAATGCGTGAACCTTGGAGTCCTCCAAAATCCTTGTCCCATGCGCCCTTCTAATGCCCCAAGAATTGTGAAAGCAGACCACCAAGGCATACCCCTTTTTGAAGACATTTCACTCACGACTTAGCAAACAATCCGACATTTGCACTGCCTGGAACTGACATGTAAGTGGAGAATGGCTCCTTGGAAGACAATTTTCCACTACAAACAGGTGGTTTTCCACTTCCATGTTAGTTCCAGGGAGAAGTACTGACCTTTTACCACACTGTTCTCACTCCGGACCATTCATCTCACCGGGTCCAGCTTGCTTTCGCCAGGGCACCACTGAGTCCTTCGGTGGAGTCACCATGCTCCGTCTCAAAGGGGTCAACGCCTCGTCTGATGCTTTCGCACAAAAGACATATCAGACGGACGGACATCTCCATCCACCTGATTCCATCTCTTGACTCATGGACATAGCGAGGACATCTACATGGTCCATACCGAGGCCATTTTTGGTACACACACCTGTCCTGGACTGGACCATCGTGTCCACGACGCAGACTCGATTCATTAGGTGGGCCAAGCAGAAAAACACACACAACGGCGCAAAAATACGAGTGAAAGGCCTGGAAGGGGCATGGTCAAACTTCCAAAGGCTTCGATGCAACGGAAGATCCGGTCGCAGCCTGGGCGAGTGCGCCACATCCATGAGGCGCTTTGGCACTCCACGAACCCACGCCAACAATCTAAGTTTGCATGTAGCCGGTCATCTGCAAGACTACGGAACCTGGTGTAAACATGCGTAAACTTCAATATACTTCAATAAATTTCAATAATATATTGCAGGATGCTGTAGGCTTGCCATACCAATGCTCTCGATCGTTCAAACTGTTCTCTATTTCGATCAGCAACACCACCGAAGTCTGGCCTATCCCAAAACCTTCGGGATCCCTTCGCATTGGCCACCTGGCCACCCCCAAACCACCACTCCCCCCCAGCCACGCGAGAGCTGGGACCCTCCGGCCGAAGCTCATGCTCGAGCGATCATGAGCGGTGTTGCGATGCCCAGCTTGAGCGCGGCACTGGGCCCCGTGGAACGGAGGACGGTTGCTCTCCGGATGTCCCGATCCTGGGGAACTGCGTGCTCTATCCTTTTTGTGACTGAGCCCCACAACTGCCCCACGTGCCCTTCGATGATTTCAGCGATCTTTCAGGACCGGAAACTTTCCGTGAGAAAGAATCAACTGAGCCCCGGCCCGGCCTATCCAGGTCTTCCGAACCCGGTCACCAAGACCGTCCGGGGCGGGGCTCTCCGGTGTCCGGGCATCGAGCCGATCGAACCCGCGTCTGGACGTCCAGACGCGCGGGGGGGAGTCAGGTTCAGCGCCCAGGGCAGAAACCTGGTCAGAAAAAAACAAAAACAAGATGGAACAAGGCTCTACCCCCAGACCCCCAGACTTAAACGAGAACCCTTCGCTACGCATTCGGCAAAACAGAACGTTTTGCTGGAGGGTTCTACTGGCGCTTTTGGGGGTGTTGGGGTATGTAGCTGATATACGATGTCATAGACGAAATAGAGCCTGTACTCTGGTTTTTGGGTCACACCGCCACTTGCCGCATCTCGGCACGGCTGAGGTGCTGACCCAGATGTCACCACGGGCCTCCACGCACATCGCTGGCAGCGATGGATGCGCCGAACCGAACCCTGGATGCGAGCCTCCTCGAGCCGCTTCCTCTTTGCTGCTAGCGCTGGCAGAAAAGTGCCGCGAATCATGAATCCAGTGTAACCTACACATATTCATATATGCCATCCCTTGACCTTGGGACCTCTTTTCTGGAGGGGAAGAAAAGGAACAGTTCCGGTTCAGGTGCTCTGGTCTTCCACCCCAGCGTGAAAAACCAGGTGCCCCGGCATTGGACCCACCAAAGCCGAAGGACGAGACTCCAAAGAAGCCGGTCTCCTGACACCGCTCGACGGACGAAACCCACCGGCGACACATGCCCATCCCATCAACGTCCATCCCAGAACTCCCCAGTGAGAAACCGTGTGGTAGATCCTGCCGAGATCCTGTGAGCGTGCCCTTCGTTTTCAGAGTACGAGTTGGACCCAACATGTGTGGAGCCGAGACGAGTTGCCTTCGGTACAAAGGTGCTCAGTTCCTTGCGTGAAGACATCGCCGCACAAACGTCATCGGGTGAGGCGCTCAGGAACACCAACGTCATCGGATCTCGATCATCCTTGCCCTGGTCCACAAACTCTGGGGTGAAATAGACCGGGTATGCCTCGAAGCGTTGTGGTGTGGCGTTGGGTTGAGGTAACAATCCTTGCGGTCAATATGTTTCAATATATCAACATATACCAACCGGTTCTTTTCCAAAGGGAGATATGATGTTGCAGATTTGTACTGCATTGTAATTACTCTCCTCAAATCCCTTTTGAATTTAAGTCTCTTCATTTGTGACCAAACTTGAAATAGCTCTGCACTTGATTGACCACTGAGCCCGTCACGGCGTCATCAATGTGAGGGTTTAGCAGCCTTCCATACAAAGGCCGAGGAGCAACGGTCACAGGCCAACTCGCTGGCGATTTACAGCGCTTCACTGTCAACCCTATTCTCTCTCGCATCTGAGAGCAGTTCTTTAAAGAAAAATGAAAAAGCAAAAAAAAAGAGGTCTAAAGGTCGAAGGAAGTCTCCGGAGATCGATTCGATGTGACCGTTCCAGCGGCTTCAAACCCACGCACCTCAAGTGGATGTTCGGTGCCGAAACAGCAAAGCATCCCTGGCGATCGGCTGTCTGCGGGACCCTGGAGCCTCTCAAGAGGCCAGACTGGCGGCTCATCAGGCAGACTTCCCCCCAAACTCAAGCCTACCTAGAGAGCCCACTTGACCATATTTGACCTCTGTGTTTATAGTTAAAAGGTTGGTTGGTGGTCCAACATAGAGGTCATTCAGGTTCTAGGTACACACTGGAAGGACGCAACGTGCAAGGACACAACATGAAAAAAGGAATGTTTTTTTTGTATATAGACCCCCAAATAGATAGAAAAGTAGATGCTCGCTGAAAATGTATTGGAAACCGTTTCTATCTATTTAGGGATCACTATAGGCATGCGGGAGTTGGTTTCGGGGATCAAGTCTGGATGACTTAGGACTTAGGCACAGACCATCAGCACACATTTCATGAGTCCGTTGATCCCTGCCTCAGCGCGCAAGGGCGGCACTCCAAGGAGAGACGTGGAATTGTGATCGGATGGGTCATAAAGAGAAGCAGGCAAAGCAAAGACCCTCTGTTTGTTGGCACAAGTGGAGCTACCTTCCTCATTTCAAGACACCTCTTTCTCCAACAACCTGTTGTTGAGGTTCAGCCTGCCATCTGTGAACAAAAGCTTGAGTTCTGAAAACCGTCCTGAAAACAAAACAAACCACTGGTGAATCGCAGTCATTTATCATTGCTCAGTGAACTCGTACACATAGAACACCTTTTTTGCACTTTGCTAAAGCCGTATGGTCGCCCAGTGGCTTCACCACATAGAACAAAAAGAATCGAGAACCAGAATTGGGGGTCTTGTGGACCCCGAATCGGGGCTATGATGCAGTAAGTTCCTTGTCAACGAGTTCAGAAATGGGATGAACGCCATATGTTTTCTGCACCTGGATTTTCATCCATCCGGGCTCCTGGCTGACATCTCTGTGTGCCCCAAGTTGGATTTCGAGCTGGTCTTCACCAAAGGATGCTGTCTCACTTGACCTGCTGCAGAGGCCATTCGAACGAGCCTTGTCTAACGGCATAGGGTACCCCTGGGCCATCCGCGTCGCGATCGATCGGGTGAAATGATCGGCCGTTCGTCGTTCGAACTCTTCCGGTGTCTCAACCAGCTTTCGGACCTTCGTCTCAGGTTGTGAAGGGAAATGGATGGAAATGAATGGAAATGATCACTTCATGAAAACTTCCAGACGGTCTTTGATCTTCAATGCTGCAAACTGGACTGTAAGAGGACTGGTTGAACGTTCAGAGCCGGGCACATGTCAGTCAGTGAAGCAACGGACGGGAATTTCCTGGGGGGGTTCAGGTTTGTCAGGTAGTGAGCAATCAAGGTCAACTTCTGGTAGAATCTTACCTGACATTTTCTAGCTTCAAGTAGTTCCTCGTATATGATCGTACATGTATAAATATAAATGTGTTTTATGTTTATCATCTAGAATCTAGAATGTTCACTCAATCCGATTGGCATGGTGTGCCCTCGATTCCGCAACAACAGCCTCGCTTGGCCAACGCAAGGGCTTGAAGGAGGCAAACCTGCCTTCCATTGCCCTGTTTGACCTCGAATTCCCGTCTCGCGAAGATTGCATCTCCAATACCTTCCTCCCCCCCCGCACTAAAAAGAAGTCCAGGAGTCCATCCAAAACGGTCCATCCAAAGGAGTCCCTTCTCTCTCCGTCTCCCCGCTCCGTCTCTCCGCCTTCGAAGCGCATCATGGTCGCCCGCAAGGCGCCCACCTGACACCCAGAGCCGGGTGTCCAGCTGAGAGACACCTAAGACACCCAGGACTCGGCTGGGTTGGGTGGGTAGGGTGCAGTGTCAACGAACTGAAAAATAGCAAGACTGTCAGACTGACCTCTGACCATCTGAAGGCCTTTTAAAATGACACAGGCGACTTCGGTCCTGGACCTCTTGGGTCCCCTGTCGACGTATGACGTGTAAAATCCTGTGTGGTGCTGAGAACACAGCGGAGGCCTCTGGACCTCTCCGTGCGCCACACGCGATCCCACTCGCCATCGCACCTCGATGGGATCACCTAAAGCGGTCCCGGTGCCATGGAGCTCCTGCTGCGCGGGGCAGTGGCATGCGACGCGGGATGCTGTGGCACCCGGATCTCCCAACCATGGCACCCGGTTGAACTCCTTACTAGTCCATTCTGTTCAATTTCTCTGATCAACCCAGGTAGCCCGGTTTTGACCCACAGCCATAGAGGATTTGTCCGTTTCGTGCGACCCTGGGGCGTGATGGTTTTGATATGGGTCTTCGATGAGGAGCTCTGACTGAAGTGTTCTTGTTGGGAAAAACTGGGGAATGACCCTGAGGCTGGTCTAGCTTGGGGCCCCGGCACCTCCACACGTGTCGTACCTCTACGCCCACCCGATCTGGCAGAGTGTCTCAAAAGCAGGGCATGCCTGTTCGGTGAGCTTTTCACACATCTCTCGAAAAGAAAAAACAATGCCAATTCCTCGTTGCACATGAGGTCCCCTCAAAATTACGGGAAGTGTTGCAAGAAAGGCTTTCGCTTGGAAGTGATGTCAACCAGTGAAATCCTTTCCAAAGTATCCCTTTTGAAATGAACAAAAAGGTCCAGCTATTAATTACATTGCAGGACTTGTGGTTGGTTGGTTTCAATTTGGGGTATCCAAACCACCTGTCACGCAGATCCAGTCACCCTCACGCAAATATGGAAGTGACCCCAAAAGTCATGACAATTCCAAAGTCTGCTTCTGATGTTCTTCATTCTTCCATAAACGATCCTTTTCGACACAAACCGAACACCGAAAAGCCGAAACCTGATCTCCGAAAAACGACCCCCGAGAAAGGATCCCCAAGCGAAACGTCCCTCCGGTCGGGAACGAGCGATTGCTAGAATCCTGAATCTGGATGTCCAAAGGCTTGATACCAGCTTCTCTCAGGGAAGCACGGATGCACTCCTCACGGGAGAGGAAGCTCACCGCAGCTCATCGCAGCTCGTGGTGTTGTGTTGGACCCGGTGGACCCGGTGGACCGGTGAACGTCCGGTTTGGTTTGTGGTCCTGCGGACGAGCAGGTGAAGAGGTAGGAACTGGATCAAGAAAAACATGACAAATATGGCACTGCGCATCTTCGCCCAAAACAAGAGGAAAGACACTATAGTCGTCCTCAAGTGGCCTGGAAGAATGGATCCCTTTGAAAATTCATCATCGTCTTCCACATCACCCGAAATGAGACGTGGGTCACGCAACCTCTGCAATCACCCAAGCCAAACCAATCCGCCGCATACAGTTCCACACGGGTCTGTGGCAGTCTGTGGCTTATTTGTTTTTGAAGTGGATCAGTGGCACAGAAATTCCTCTTCGGCACCCTAAACAGGAACGTCTGGCAGTTGTATGTATGTATCGAAAAAAACAGCAACATGTAAAACCTGGTCTCCGATTTGATTGGCGAGGATTCGACGCCAAAAAAATGCCTCAGCCCGTGGTCAGCCAAGTCTGGATCATCTCCCAAGCATCCCGTGCTTTTCCAAACTTTAACTGACCTATCATCCGTTCGAAAGTTGCAATGGCCTATCCACAAGGATGTCAAATTATCTCAGCCGCTCTTCTCCGGATGCGACTCTTCCTCTGGCTGACCGGGGCCTCGACTCACCCGTTGACCCCACCGAAAGGAGCGCGGAACACCGTTGACGCGGTAGGTGCCTGCTGCGAGGGTCCATGGGGTGCCGTTAGACTGGCACTCCTGCCGTCCTGGCCGTGTTTGGAGACGACAGCAACCGGCAGACGAAGCTTCCAGGAGCGAAGAGACTGCAAGGTCGAGACCTATCTTAACACCCAAATGAAGAGGACTTGGGAATTGGATTGGTCATCATGTGCACATGAGTACTTTTGATCTTCCCGTAGGCCGTAGGGTATCTATGGTGGTGCAGGATGCTGTTGATTTACCACAGATGCGGAACACCAATTCTGTTTTAAAAAAGAGTATGTCACTGACTATATCCAAAATACATTGTCAGACCTACGTTGTAGGATAATATTGTAGGACTTATTGTACGGTCTTTGGTGGTGCAGGATTCTGTCCACTACTGGCGGCAGTCAGTTGGTGACAGGACAACGATCCGGATTCCACAGGACCAGTATGTTTGATTCTACGAAGGCATACCCAGTGGCTCCAAATCTCCTCACATGGGGCCTCCCACAACAAGTGCACAGTCTGTCAAAATGCACTGGCTTCTTTTCGCACTCTTCCTTTTGGACAGGCTGATAGACCGCAAGCCAGTGAATCGACCCGATCTGCGCGAGCGTTAACAGGTGTCGTGCCCGACAGCCAGGAGGTGTCCAGTCCCAACCAGAAACAATTGGTTCGTCCAATATGGCCATTGTTCGATCCTTTACATAGGAAGTGGCTTGTTTCTGGTTGGGACGGCTTGCCGGCTTGCTTACGGCTTCTTTGCCAACGGCTTTCTGTGGCAAAGGTCGGGCAAAATTCCCAGCGAAGCTTCGAATGGGTCGTAGAAACTGATTGATTGAACCCTCCAAGGTATGCCAAACGGCAGTATGTCGGTGTTCCCCACCGACTACCTTGCTGTTGTGATTGCCCCTCCTTCCAGTAGGATGTGGATCGAGGATCAGCAGCCCACACTTAGTTTGCTGCGTTGATCGTGCTCGAACAACTCTACCGTCGCATCATATGATTGCAGTGAAATTGAAACAGTCGCATGGGAGCACTGGGGTGGCACCACAGGTTTCAACTCGCTCCAAAATGCATGTTACATGTGATCTCCAAAAAAACAAAAACAAGATGGAGCCCACGAACCCGAATGCAAACACCTTCAAAAAGCTACATATGTCCAAATGACACTCTTGTAGGACACTCTTGTGGGACACTCTCGTGGGTCACTCTTGTAGGAAACTCTTGTGGGACACTCTTACGGGACACTCTTGTGGGACACTCTTGTGGGACACTCTTGTGGGACACTCTTGTGGGACACTCTAGTAGGAAACTCTTGTGGGACACTCTTGTAGGACACTCTTGTGGGATACTCCTGTAGGACACTCTTGTGGGACACTCTTGTGGGACTGTTGCGGGACTCTCTTGTGGGACACTCTTAAGGGACACTCTTGTGAGACACTCTTGCGGGACACTGTTGCGGGACACTCTTGTGGGACACTCCTGTGGGACACTCATTTGGGGCACTCTTGTGGGACACTCTTGTGGGACACTCTTGCAGGACACTCTTGTGGGACACTCTCGTGGGACACTCTTGTGGTGGGACACTCTTGTGGGACACTCTTGTGGAACACTCTTGTGGGACACTCTTGTGGGACACTCTTGTGGGACACTCTTGTAGGGCACTCTTGTGGGACACTCTTAGGGGACACTCTTGTGAGACACTCTTGCGGGACACTGTTGCGGGACACTCTTGTGGGACACTCCTGTGGGACACTCATTTGGGACACTCTTGCGGGACACTCTTGTGGGACACTCTTGTGGGACACTCTTAAGGGACACTCTTGTGAGACACTCTTGTGAGACACTGTTGCGGGACACTCTTGTGGGACACTCCTGTGGGACACTCATTTGGGACACTCTTGCGGGACACTCTTGTGGGACACTCTTGTAGGACACTCTTGTGGGACACTCTTGTGGGACACTCTTATAGGACACTCTTGTAGGAAACCCTTGTGGGATACTCTTATAGGACACTCTTGTGGGACACTCTTGTAGGACACTCTTGTGGGACACTCTTGTAGGGCACTCTTGTGGGACACTCTTGTGGGACACTCTTATAGGACACTCTTGTGGGACACTCTTAACTCTTGTGAGACACTCTTGTGGGACATGGTTGCGGGACACTCTTGTGGGACACTCTTGTGAGACAGTCTTACGGGACACTCTTGTAGGACACTCTTGTGGGACACTCTTGTGGGACACTCATACGGGACACTCTTGTGGGACACTCTTGTAGGACACTCTTGTGGGACATGCGGGACACTCTTGTGGGACACTCATACGGGACACTCTTGTGGGACACTCCTGTGGGACACTCTTGTAGGAGACTCTTGTGGGACACTCTTGCGGGACACTCTTGTGGGACACTCTTGTGGGATACTCTTGTGGGACACTCTTGTGGGACACTCTTGTAGGACACTCTTGTGGGACATTCCTGTAGGGCACACTCTTCGTACGAGACTTCCTCCAAAACTTCCTCCAAAAGTCACGCGTCAAGTCTCAAAAACGAGCGTTTCGCACGAGACTTCCTCCAAAAGTCACACGTCAAGTCTCCAAAACGAGCGTTTCGTACGAGACTTCCTCCAAAAGTCACATGTCAAGTCCCCAAAACGAGCGTTTCGTACGAGACTTCCTCAAAAACTCACATGTCAAAGTCTGCAAAACGAACGTTTCGCACGAGACTTCCTCCAAAAGTCCAGCGGAAACACCCATCGGAGCACACACATCACGCAGCCCTGCCAAGCAGTTTCGCGATTCCAGCCCCTCCAAACAACATCCGCTCACACGCCAATCCCAATGTGACAGCGACATTCACCTCTACCACAACTCACAACCTCACGATTCCCTGCGCCTGCCACAAATCTTTCCGCATCCACACGTCTAACGCGCACAAAGTACTGCGCCTGCCATGATATGTCACCTCCGTCACACCTCGCAACCTCACCATTCCCTGCGCCTGCCACGAGAATCGCACTTCCACGCCTCAAAACCCACAAAAAGTACTGCGCCTGCCACGAAAAGTTGCAATATCGTCTCATGTCAGCTTCAACAAAATTTGCAACACACCACACGTTTGGAATGATTTCGACCCATTCTGAGCACACTCCCATCCACCTAAATCGCCATTTCAGCTGAGACTGGTCACGAAAACAGAGCTTCGATGCCACACCCTGAAACGCAAATCCCAATGGCACGGCCACATCCAACACCCCAAAAACACGACTCTCCAAACGCTAATCCCAATGGAACTGCGTAGCAAACTGAGGTTTTGACAAAACGCTGCGCCTGTGCAGCGAAATGCATCACGTTTCTTGCGCGACATGTCATTTTCATGCAAATCACAATGGAATAGCGTCGCAAACTGACACGTGACACATCCATGCCTGGTCACTTGCAAAAGCTTCCCCCAATGGCAGCGCCTTAGCGCTCTACTGCGGACGGTTGCGAACGGTTGCGGACGGTTGCGGACGGTTGCGAACATAGAAACAACGGGTCGCGAACAAGGCTCCACCCCCAGACCCCCAAGAGTTAAACGAGAACCCTTCGCTACGCATTCGGGAAAAACACTTTGTCCTGTTCCCCCTTCAAAAAAGCCGTTCACTCGGGACACACAGACAGGCTAGACAGGTGACCAGAGAAGCGACCAAGGCGATCAACACTCGGCCCCTTTCGGCCAGGGCCTGGTTCAAGCAGGTGCCACACAGCACTGCAAGCCTGGAGGTTCTTCGCGTCGACATGTGGGTTGCCCGCCCGTCGAGTCGATCGAGAAACACGGTGACCGTTGGGGTGCTGGCTCGGAATCATAGAAAGAAAGGGGTACCAGGTACCACAGACCGAACTTGTACACGGCTTGGGGGGCTGGGAATACCAACCCCTCTATTCATTCAAAAAAACATAGTGAAAGGTCACCTATGCGCCTCACAACCCACCAATCCGGCCCACAGCACCAAGGTGGTCGCTTTCCACCCACACATCCACCCCTGGTATGTTGGCCCAGAGACTCCAATCATCAAACTCAAGCCCCATCATCAGACTCTCATTGTTGCCCATGGCCGTATGCAGGATGCCACATCGAATCTGCATACAGATGATGAACACCCCCACCCAACGACACGGCCACTCAGGGTTAAATGAGTTATATAAATGGTGAAAATGCCCCCGGTGGAGGTCTTCTGGTCATGAGTGTGATTGAATGACATGAATGTTTCCATGAAAGTTCGTTCTCTCTAAGACTGGTCCAACGCCAGGTCCCATTGCGGGATGCACCCGCGCCTTGCAACATCCTCCTTACTGCTCACCCGAAAGCTCATGGCTCCGCAGCCCTCACCACGGATGAAGCCATCCGCTGACTGGCGGCCGATGGCCGAGGGAAGCTTCTCCACAACATAAACCACCGCACTTGAGGGGAAAGCATGGGAGGGACCCATGGGGATCTTTGGGCGCCAACGTGGTACACGTGATCCACTTCTCGAGAAAGATCTCCATCGGGCGGTACACCATGTTCAGATCGGAGGTGGTACGCAGAGAGAGGGTTCCATTTCTCCATTTCCATCCGTCCACACCTCTCCATATCGCGTTGGATCGCCATGGGTTGGCTCAACAACCACGAAGTTTGGGTGACCAAGATGTGGGTGATCAACACAAAAACACAGCTCTCCATGGTGGCAGATTTTCCAGAAGAATTGGAGCATCCACTGCAGATCAACAGCGATCACCCTTTACAAAGACCACCCTTCACGATGGAGAATTTGGAGGAACTTGGTAGGTCCATTCCATTCAGAACAACAGCTCACCACGGCGGAGCCCCATACACAAGGCCTGGGCCAACCCCTTGCTTGTCTAAGCTGGCTTGTTACGGGGACCTCCTTCTGGTGCCATCTAGCCACTTAACAGCGGCACCACCACCCATACTCCAAAGCATGCACTTGCAAGTATAGAAAGGCACACTACAACAACACCAGCTCCCAAGCTCCCAAGCGCACACAGCAGCGGCACCAGCACCCACAAGCTCTCAAGCGCACAAAGCAGCGGCTCCCTGCAACAGCACCAGCACCCAAGCTCCCAAGCGCACAAAGCAGCGGCACCAGGACCCAAGCCCAAGCACACACAGCAGCGGCACCCTGCAGCGGCACCAGCACCCAGGCTCAAAAGCGCACACATGCAGTTTTTCTTATACTTGAAGTACAGTAAGAACCGCAATAGCTCACGCTTTCTGATGCTATCTGGGGGAAAAAACACAATGCGGTTGAAACTGGTGAATCCAAGGAACAACTGGAATGTGATCTTCCCAGCAAGTAGGTTTTTATGTCTAGGTTCACCAAGAGTATACCTTCGAAGAATCCTCTCCAAAAGCGCAGCTTGACAGAGGGTCTGAGCACCAGACAGTACTTTGCACCCATGAAACGTCCTCAAGCTCCCACCATTCCACCTCCAAAACCACCGACAAAAGCCCACCACCTGGAACCCAGGTCGCCCGGTCCGACCTGGTCAAAGGTGAAGCATCGCCCCACATGCGACAACCTGGAAAAAAGTGAAGGTTCGCATGACTTGGAAACTCGGAAAAATATGTACACCGACAAAAGAAAAAGGTCTTTCGATGATTCCCCAGTTCCAGTGGATGAAACGGGCGAATCCCCAAACAATTCCAGACAAATCACATCACCCTTTTTCAGCATGGCGCCAAGATGAAGGACCAAAATGACCGTTTTGGATTCCAAGACAGGCCCAGGTGACCTGAAATCGGGGTCAGCTCGCGTTGGCGCGATCCCAGCGGGGTGCGAAGGGTGATCGGTCGCAGGACCAGGGTCTGGAGACTGATTCAATCAAACACCCCCCACCATGAAGAGGTGTGTTTTTGTTGGTTAGTCAAGAGTCTACATTAGCTGTTTGATGGTTGAACCGCTCACTCTGCCGAAGCTTGCCCACTATCGTTGGTGAATAGATAGATCGACAACATCCAGCTATATACACTTGAGTGGACTGACTCCCATGCGACTCCACGGACGTCAGTCTAAGGGGAACTTCACGACCGTCGCCCCGTTCAGTGCACTCGTTGGGGCCCTGGGACTCCACACATGGAAGCACCACACAGAGCAATGGTGTAACTGAGCAGTGCGGTAAAGGCGGGTGCGTGGGGTGTTCACTTCCGCGCCTCTGCTGGTATTCTCAGCAGGAAAGATCAAAGCAGAAGATGAAGGAATCTGATGGAATGGGGAGACCCCTAATTTGTTTTGTCAATGTTTTTCCTCTTAGCAAGGGTCCAACAGAGTGTCTCCTGATGCCAAAACAGACCCGAGTTCGTGCCATATGAAGAAGTCCGTGGAACAACAGCTACAGCTAATTGGATGTTTCAAACCACCCTTTTCGCCTCATGGTGCATACAATCTCACACCATCAAACACTATCACTTTTGCAGTGAGGCTGATGAGCACTGAGCAGTTGACCCCAAAAGAAATTAGCTCTGGTCCGCCGTCTGCTCCGCCGCAAAGCAGAACCTCCCACAAACCCCTGCTGCGGTGATGAACCAAAGCACTGCGGTGTTCTTCGTTCGCTCGCTCAACCCGTCGGTCTTCGCTCAACCCGACCGGGCTTCCGCACAAAGGGTCGAAGTGCCCATTGCTTCCAATGGCAATGCCATACTTCACCTGCGAGAAGCTCACACTGAGCAGCTGAGCAGCGAGCCCCATGCAGAGAGTTCTGCGATGGAACGCGCAGAGAGCCAGGGCTGGTTTAGCGCACTGACGTGAAGGTTTCAAGAGAAGGTTTGCACTCGCTGCAGAAGCAAACACAATAACAAAAGGTCGCTGCGAACCCGTGCCACATTGGCCAAACAGCTAAACTTCTGGGCTGGCTGGCTTGCATTCTAAAACCTCATTCCGGATTCCATCTCTGCCATCTCCGCTGCACAAAACGGACGAACACAGCACCCACTAAAGGAATCACGGTTGCGACATGTGCTTGGAGCCAATTTGGACAATGCACCAACTCTTCTCGTCAGTCCGCTTGTTCAGGTCGTTCCAATTGGCGGGTCTTCTCCTGCCTGCTTCCTCATGGAGGCCATGTCCACACTCTCATCCGGCATGACAGGCCGCAAGTTCTGGCACGCGAAGAACGTGGAACCGCGCACGCGGATCGGCCCTGCGGGCCCTGCGGTGTGTTGGAGGCGGATCCCCAACAATGGAGTCCAATCATGACTCTGACTTACTGTAAATGACTGCGAGGTAAAGAGTCTCGCAGCAGTGCTTGCAAATGCACGCTGCAGCTCAAAAGGGGTAAAAAGGGCGTCTCAGCAAACCGCTCGATCGATCTTTTCCATGGCCAAGGCGGTGCATGAAACAGGTAAAAAGGAAAGGCTCAAAAGGCCATCTCGGGCCCATGCGACGAGTGGCAAAAGCTCAAAAGGCGGAAGGCTCAATTGGAGGGTACCGCATCCATTTCATATTGGTCTTTGTTCTTCAGCTTTTGCTGCTCCTCAACAAGCTGTGCCCATGGTGCTTGACACCATTTCAACAAGGCCAGCATGAGGCCATCATCAACCTTAGTGAGACCGTCACTGTGCATCAGGTGCGTCGGCACCCGTCGAACACTTCTTGGTTCGAAAACCTGCTGGACACTACGCAGCTCCACCATCAGCCGCTTCTCGGTGACCGAGGGGTTCTCCTGAACCAAGCAGTCGTAGAGGCTCTTGGCGTCAACGCAGAGCATGGAGGAGAGCATTGCTTTGCCTTGGTGCCATGCAGCAACTCCGTGAGGAAGAAGTTTATGAATGCTGCTCTGTCTCCTCCTTCGTCGGCCGCACAGGCTTCAGCTGCAAGCGTCGAACGACAGACGCGTGGTGAGCGTCCGCTCTTCCAGTCGAGAAGGACTGCATTGCAGGTGACCTGCGTCACCTGTGGTGGACAAAGTGTCACCAGCACACCAAACTGCGACTTGTGCTTGTCAGCGTTGGCCCAGCTGGAATCGGTGAACGTGACTATCACCGAAGCTAGGTTGAGCGGAATGCCCAAAAAGGTCAGGCCTTGCTCCTTGGTGCTGCGCACATGCTCCATCACGTCGTAGAGCTTCTGAAGGTCCTGGATCTGGGCTGCTCCGCCTCGGTGTGTCAGTGAGGTAGCGGCGCAAACATCTGGGCGTGTTTGCCCTCCCAACCATTGCAGACAGCCGCACACGCTGCGGTACTCTTTCATCTCATCGGCCGTGAGGCCTGGGTCGCCACTGAGGCGTCGTTTGGGCAGCTTGGCCGTGTGCATGTTCTCAATGAAGCCACGCTGAGTGACCTTGTAGTAGAACTTGCCGTTCTCCTCATGGAGGGAGATTTCTTTGCCACGGTACTCGCCCGGAGTGGACGCGGTGATGAGGGCGGTGCTTCCCCAAGAAAAGAGGTTCTTGAGGGTGTCGAGATCGAAGGTCTCGGAGTAGATGCCATGAAGTCATCAACGTGCACGATCATGAGGCAGTCGAGGAGGCCGTCTTCACCGCGGTGGGTATAAAAGCACCTGTCAAAGGAGTGCTGCTGGAAGGAGGCGCCCTTGACCGCGCGGTCAACTTTCTTGTACCATACTCTTGGGGCGTTGCTGAGGCCGTAGCAATTGCCAGTGACCTCATACAACGGAGCGGAGAAGCCACCAGAGGCCTGGATGATGGGGTCGGAAGGTGGCTCCATGAACAGCGGCAGATCGTGCCGTTCAGTTGAATCTTGTTCTCCCTGGAGGAATGCCTTGGTCACGAACACGGAGGACCGGTGGCTCATTCCAAATGTGCGAGCGAAGTGGGTTCTCACACAAGTACAACCGGTCATGCGCAATCTGGTACTCACAGATGTCGGCGCCAAGGGACACAAGAGGTCGTTGTTCATCACGAAGGGCCTCAAGTTCATCCAAGCGCCAGCTGTAGTTCATGTTGCGGTTGAAGATGGACCACTCCTTGCAAGGTAGTGCAAATCAAATGGCTGCACTGCTGACAGGCCAAAGTAGCCAGCCAGGGAACTGATGCGAGCTTTGCCACCGAAGACTTCCAAAACATCAGCTTTGCATCCATCTTTTCGCCATTGGGCGTGTGTTGCAAGGGCCTCATAGGCGTTGATCTCCTTTTCATAGGTCTTGCGGCTGCCTCGTAGGTGTCCGAGCAGCCATGTCACATTGCCCTTTTTTGGTAGTTGAAGGTGTCCCGAATGTTCCGGAGGTGGTCATTCTTGGGCTCATAGGTGAGGATGCCGGCGTGCTCGAGGAAGGGGCCTTCAAGGAGACAGCGGATCTACCTTGTCCCATTCGAAGCTCTCGTCCGTCTGAATCTCCTCGGGCTCGTAGATGTCGTAGCTCTCGTGGGTCCTCTTGGGCTTTGTCGATGCGGACTTGGAAGGCTTCTTGACCTGTTCCCAGTCCTTGATGGCTTCCATCGCAGCTTTGTAGCCCTTCGAAGGTCCACCGAGGCCCATGCGGAGCGCTGGGGTATGGTACTTGTCCTCGAAGCTGATCGCCGTGGACGAAGATGGTAAAGGCAGCGGCGGCTGCCGCGAGCCTCGAACTGCTGGTTCTAGCCACTTTTGCGCGGCATCGTCCCATTTCCACTTCTTGTTGCAGTCCTCGCACCTGCTGTAGCGACCGTGGCGGTTGCCGTATAGCGGGTGATCTTGTCGTGAGGGCATGGTCCCATCGCTCTCGTGTAGAGCTTCTCCTTCACATCCATGAGCAGTGGATCTTGATGGGCCAGCCATTCTCGAGGTCGAATTCGGAGTCGGACCGCCTGGCTCATCCCTCTTCCCAAGAGGATCTCCGCGTGAAGGAGGGTCCTCACCAGATTCCGCCATGCTTGAAGCCAGGCCGGAGGTCTTTGGGGCATCTTGTACACGATCGGTGTGAGCACTTGCAGCGGCTGCGAAAACAAACTCAGAATCAAAGCTATCGGAGTCAACCTTCGTGGACAGCTGCTTCCAAACAGAAAAACGGTGGGAGGACTTGGTGAACATGGCAATGTCAAACGCCAGGTGGCCACTCAACAAACAAATGGGGACGGTGCAATCAAACTCACTCAAAAAGGCGCATTGGTTGGGCAAATCCAAAACAGCTTTCAACTTGTCCTTCAAGAGGGTGTTGCTTCCAAGCAATGGGATGTCGTTGGAGGTCGTAAGAACGGAGGTGCCCAACAAACAGCATGAAGATTCCGTGGCATCAAACAACACGGTAGTAGTGCATGAAGTGAGCTAAACTGAGTAGGGCCATGACCAAACTCGAACGGCTCACGACTCGGCGAGGTCTTCGAGCGGAAGCGGAACTGGTTGACATGTTGTGACCAAAGTTCCAACCACGTGTTGCTGCAGCACGTCTTCTGGCATGCAGTATCGAGGATCAGGTGGTGGTTGAACATGGTGATGTTAGCACCAAAAACCTGGCGCAATCCCGATCCCAAGGGTCTCGATGGAGGCATCGTTGGTGATGAAGTGACCACATAGGTAAAGTAGGTGCCATAGGGGGATTCCATCTTGTCGTTGGTGTCAGTGTTGAAGGTCACTGACCGATTGCATCCATCGGGATGAGCAACTGTCAAAAGCACCTTTTTCCCAGACCCCTTGGTCTTGGAATCATCTTTGCCCATTTTGGGCTTGCCATCACCTGAAGGAGCACCGGACTGAGGGCACTCTTTGTCACCTTGCCAATGGCCTTTTTGACCACAAACGGCACAGTGGCTTTCCGCTTTGCGTTGAGCAATGCTTTTGCCACCACCAGAAAACTTCCTGCCAAGGCGCATGCCTGAAAGTCGACGGGCTGTCACCGTCAGGCAGTGAGCTGCCAAATCAAGGTCCGACATGTCGGCGTCTGCCTCTGCTTCATCCTCACCATCGAGGTCGCGAGGTTCAGCTTCAAGCTCATCAGGCGGTTGTTCGCCTTCATCTTCATGCGTCTCTTCCATCGTGCCCTGCTCCTCGTCAGCTTGGTCACCCTCGGGAACCTCAGTGAGATAGGAGGAGTGAACAAAGGTGTTGGAAGAGCTCGACTTGCTGGAGCTCTTGCCTTTATGCTTGCCTTTGCCCTTTGACTTGCCTTGATCACGGACAGGTTGGTCAGTCCGCTCTCTAGGCTCTTTGGTGTGGGTCTCAAAGTCCCGGGTGTAGACCACAGCAGGAACTGCACGATGCTCAGGGAACTGCGTCTCGGCCGCCTCTTTCACATCCTGGTAGCGGATGGAGTTGGATGTAGCGACAAGGATCATCCTTTGGGCTTCAGCGCTTAAGCGCATTCGATCCAAGAGTCTGGAGCCGGCGGCCTCTTCATCGTACATGTGGTTGACATGTACTCCACATGTACTCCAACAGCTGCTAGGCTGCGTTCGCAGCGATGGTAGCAGTGAGAGGCGTTCGAAGTCGTCCAGGAGCTTTCTCTTGAGGTATATGCCTTTCACCGTCCAAGGAGCTCTGAGCGTCTCGAGGATGTACTCGATGCCCTGGGGATCATCGACCTTGTCGAGGTCGCAATGCTCGAGTTCTTCGGCGGCTTCGCCGCCAAGGTTCACGAAGAGGAACATGGAGGCCTCATTCGGGGGCAAATAGCTTCGAATCTGGCGGCGCCACAAAGCAAGCTTCCTCTCCCAGCGCTGAAAGGCTTGAAGGTCGCCTTTCTGAGCATCCCACGCCGGTGGCGAAGGAGGTGAGCCACCGCGATACTTCAGACCTGGTGCAGGTCCTTTGGTGATGTCCCAAGGCTTTTCTTGTTGGGACTTGTTGTGGATGCCGTGCATGGACTTCAACATCTCGTCGCGCCAGCCAGCATTCTTCGAGCTTCCATGGTCGGATCCGGCTTTGAGCACGCCGTCACCTTTCCCTTTGCTGGCTTTGGACTTGCCAGCATCAACATCTTTGCCGGCTTTGGACTTGCCAGCGTCAGCTCCTTTGCCGGCTTTGGACTCGCCGGTCATGGGCATAGTTTGAGCAGCTTGTTCTCGGCTCGGGGGAGGATCATCTCGTGGCACCTTAGGAGAAAGACCTGGTAAAACAGGGGCTCTAAGTGGAGTGTGCGCAGGTTGTTGAGGGACATGTGAATCAGAGTCTCGTCCAGCTGCTTGCTTCCGAGCTTTCCTCTGCCTTCGTGAAGGCCTTGTCACAGGTTGCAACGTTGAGGGATCAACGCTCGGGTCATCAGTGGGAACTTCTGATTCAGCGGTCTCTCGGGCTTCATGTCCAACAGGTCGTGGATCGTCATGGTGTGTCTCGCCTCGGGGAGCATGTGGAGTATATGTCCACGAACCCAAGCCTGTATCATGGCTATGAGGAAGGTTGGCATCGTAGAAGTTGGGGCAACCACAATCCAAACAAACATAGCCCTCTCCATGCGTTCTCCATTGTGTGCTGTGGCAATTCCTACACAACCAAAGGGGAACATGCACAAAGCCGTCAGGTCGTTGGAGTTCGGGCATAGAGCTATCGCTCGTGTCCTGGTCAAAGCTCGTCGTCCGGGGCGTCCACTGCCAAGGGTGGTCATCATAGACCGGGTCAAATTCAAGGTCGCCCGGCGTCTCTTCAGAAGCGGCCTCATCGTCGTGGGCAAAAGGGAAGCCGTAGTCATCTTCAGGGTCATCCCATTGCCAATCGTACGAGGTCTCCTGGGACATGCCGAGCAGTGAAGCAAAAGGGCGCAAGGCTCCGCGCCACCAACTCGCAGCAGTGCTTGCAAATGCACGCTGCAGCTCAAAAGGGGTAAAAAGGGCGTCTCAGCAAACCGCTCGATCGATCTTTTCCATGGCCAAGGGCGGTGCATGAAACAGGTAAAAAGGAAAGGCTCAAATGGCCATCTCGGGCCCATGCGACGAGTGGCAAAAGCTCAAAAGGCGGAAGGCTCAATTGGAGGGTACCGCATCCATTTCACAAAGAGAACGGCCAGAACCGGAATGAGAAGCTTTTCAGCTTTGACCAGTTTCAGACCGCTGCTGGGTACAGAGGAGTGGGAATGAGCTCCAGAATCCAAAACAAAAACATCATGAAATGACTTAGTATTGATAGAAATCTATCCACATCTTTCACGTTTACCCACAAACGTTCAAGACTCCCCATGCTGACGGGGCTTGGCAGGCTTGGCATTCAAATGTGTCGCCGCGTCACGTTGTGCATCAGGCCCACGGCAGACAGAGAAGACGAGCACGCCGTCTCCGTGGTGGAGACTGGACCTCTGCCGTTCATCGGAGGCGTTTTCGGTCGAGACAGGAAAACCAAAACCCAGCAGGTCCCCTACTGTCTCTGACCGTCGCATGAATGTGTGTGTTTTTTCTCACGTTGTTTGTTCTCTCGGTAGAGAAAAGACGAAAAAAACAATCAGAACAAAAAGGATCAAAAAGGATCCTTTATAGGGAGACCATTTGGGGCATCGTTGTGTCCAAAATGGAAGCCCGACACGGCAGCTGGATGATTGCCCTGCACAACACATAACATGCGTGCCGTGCGTGGCAGAAAGGGGCTCACGAATCCGTTGAACCGGGCAGGTGACGAAGCACGTCGTGGTTTCTCCACGGGCCGGGCCCTTTTTGAGGAGACATGGGCCCAAAAAGAGGCCAAGCACCTTGCGGACAAATAGCTGCACCTTGCTTTCATTCACTGTTAGGCACATGCTGGCAAAGAATTACCCTTTTGATTCAAGACATGGGACAGTGTCTGAAAACTTGGGGGAGGTACAAGAAAGGTTGTACGTGAGAGGTCCATTAGGCTTTGGTCTTTCCTACCAGAACCGCATGGATTGAGTGAGTCAGGGGTAGATGAGGGTCCCCAAGTCACTTTCTGCCTGAGCAGAATGGATCTTGAACTCTGCACCCTGACGACTGCGACTTGGGCCGCTCCCTCCCACCTTTCATGCCAAAGACATAGTGTAATCGAGAAGCCTCAGGCGATGACGTCAGGCGTGCAGAACAAGACCGGCCAAGATGTTCGGTTCAAGCGCTGAAAACGAGGTCCCTACGAAAACATACGAAAACGTGTTCGGTTCCCCTCGCTCCAAAAAAAGGAGCGCATCTCCGGGCAAAAGAAGAGAAAAAGGCCACTCTCGACTCCTCGAGTCTCTTTCCTCGTGCATGTTTTTCGGTCCAAGAGACACAAGAAGACGGATTGGTTTGGAGGTAGAGGTCGGACTCGAATCCGAAATGTCCTGGCGTGCTGTCGAGGGCCACGGGTCCAAGCAGGTGCGTGTTCTGAACACCCGCCGAGTCGCATGAGCAACGTGTCACATGAGAAGCTCCAGTCTCCACTTAAGGTCCAAACTTCAAACAAGAACCGGTTCCCTCGTGGCCAGTCCTCGCAAGGCCATGTTGACGACAAACTCACTGGCTGCATAGCCAAAGCTGGCACACCTCAGAGCTTCCGCTGCACAGTAGCAGGAGCTTGGGTGACTTCAAAGCCGTGGGTGACGGGATGCTAATCTTCCCGGGTCAGAACGGTCAGGTCTCTGCAGATTTGAAGCTTGAATTGAGCCAATCCGTTGTGCAGTCCGACGTCCCGCAACGGTCAGGTCCCTTGAGACACCTTCCGCGACGATGTAAAATCGCAGCCGCGTGTGAATCGACCGCTCTCTGAGATCTTCGCATCTCCGTCCCTTGCAAGGACTCCCGGTTCCAGCCAGCCCGGAAGAAGCAGTCATAGCCTGGCATGCATGCTATGCTAGTCATAGCCCGTCGTCTCGCTCACGGCCTTGTTAGGCTGGATGTGAAAAAGAAATTTGGTTTGGAGAAAAACCTGGAAAACAAATGACAACAACATGGGAGCCTTCCATAGTCTTCCGCTTCCAAACATCCCCTACATGAAGTCGGTTTCGTTGGGCAAGTCGAGCATGGAAAACAAGGCCGTGGATTCTCAATCCCGGTGGAATCCCACCCGACCCAAAAGCTGGGTGGCTTCGGAAAGGGACGCGCCCTGACAGCTCCAGCGCCCTGACAGCCTCAGACAGCCCTTCGGAAAAAAAAATATTCAAAAGATCCGGCACGAATTTGGTGCCACTGACCCTCTCCAGCCCAAGCCGTTTTTCTCTTTCCTCCGATGCCCACTTCACCCAAGGGCCCGTCCGTCACCCCGTCACCCCCAATCTGCTCCGCTGGACATGTGCTGGACATGTGCTGCTCCATGCTGTCGGGTGGCCCACTTCCAGGGCGTTCCGCTGGGTCGGATCCAAAAACTTCACCTGGAGAGAGGACCCCGAGAGAGTGGAGCGAAGGGAGAAAAGAAACCGCCTGGAGCTTTGGGAGGGAGAGCGAAGGGAGCAGGACGGGAATTAGGAGCACCCATTTTGAGATGGAAAAGACCTAGTCAGGGGACCAGGGGATGTCAGGGGGGGTCTAAAAACCAGTTTTTGGGGTGTTGCAGGGACATGACATCTTTGTTTTGCAAGGGTCTCTGCTTGGACCGTACAAGCTCCTTGAAATCAAGTGAAGCCAGACACGCAGAGGTGTCTGAGCCAGATAGAACCAGAAAGACCCTTGTTGGCCTTTCTTAGAGCCCGAGGAAGAAATGGTCAAAGCCTGTAATTCTCTCCAGTCCATCGATGTTGGATGATTTTGGACGCACAGGACCATGTTGCTGCATTGCTGGCCAAATGACCAAAGACTCTGCATTCAATGAAATGATGTCTTTTGTCAACGGCGAAAATACCATCAACTGCGCATTTAGATATCGTCTTAATTTAAAAAAACTCGGTCAACGGTCCTCAAAGAATGGTGATCCCTAACAAGCAGAGAGAGATTCTCCTCACCAGGTTTTCAGCACCCGCCCGTCCACCAAAGTCCGCACGGCGCATGGCCTCCTCCGGAGTCATGTTGAAGAACTGGTTGTCGAACATGGACATCTGCTGGTCTGTCAGCATCCCAAAATGCTGGATGTAGCCCTGTCGACAGGGAACCAGGGAACCATTTCTACGGGCAGTGAGTGCACTGTTTCGGCGCAAGCCGCCGTCCGGGAACCGTGACATCGTCGCATGACTCTCCGCAGTCTCGACCTGGGGGGCCTTTGTTGGCCACGAAGAGTGGCGATGGCTAACCGGGAAGGCCCAGGTGAAAAACATGTTTCACCCACACCAAAGAAAAAGACCTGGAAGTGATCGAAGGTTCATCTACATCAGGCTGCTCCACTCGGATGACAGATGGCTTCCAGATGTTCTGGCCCCATGCAGGCCGCTTTCTATAGGTCCTTGATGTCTAGGGTGCGTACGTTGTCTATTGCAGGTAGACAAAAAAAGACTCATCCAAGCCGTTTGGGTCCGTGCGCACAGTACATGCAGACAATCCATGTAGACACCGGCCAGAACGCCTGTGTTCTGGTGAAAAACGTCCAAACTATGAACATGTTCATACAGACTTCATACATCATGAGCCTTGCCTTTCAGCTGATTTGATGGGAACCCCTTCACCCCCCGAACCAACCGGTTCTTCGTATCGGTTCGACTCTGCGCTTCGCATCGGTGCGGTCCTTGCCGGAGACATCGGGCTCTGCCGAGTAGTACAACTCCAAGTCCCAACCTGAGAGACGAGTGGCGATCGATCGGGGTTGTCCGAGTCCGATCGAAGAAGTCGTCACCAGGAACTGATGAACATGGACCTTCCGGGCTACTGCGGCGGACGGTCCCTTTTTTTTTCCACTCATCCAATGTATTCGATTGCTGGGAGTCTTTACGACCTACCACGGCTTTGCGGTGATCTCGGCACATCCTTTATAGATCGCCCCAAGTTGGACATTCCATTGAAGTCCCCATGGAATGGTTCGGGGGAATCCTACATGCTGGAGAATTAAGATTGAGTCCTGAAACTAGTTGCGCACCCAAACGTCGATCGTTGGATGTAGTGCTTCACAAAGCACTCTAGAGCTGATCCGAGGCCAGGAATTCTGGGAACATTGAGACCGATCTCCACATCTGCTCGGACACGGACATCATCTTCGTATTGGCCAATGGATGCTCGCAACCATCCAGCTGCACCAATCGAAAAGCTGGTGCTAAAGGGGAAGTTCAAAGAGACAGTGACAATTCCATCCCCATTCTGCAACACAAGGTCCGTCTCCAAGCGTTCTTTGTATGGTCCCTCGGTCTGAGTCTGCTCAGTCTCCCGTACATGGGCCCGGAAGTGCGGTGCAGGGATCGTGATGACACCCAGCGGCAGCTCGTACTTCACTGGGTTCAAGAAGATCTCAAAGTCTGAGTCTGGAGACCTCCCTCCACCGACGGTTTCAGGGTCCGGGAGCTCGACGCGCCAGCCGGGGCGTGAAATCATGCGAAGAATGGTTTCAGGAGACTCAGCCATCAACTCCGAGGCCGTCATGCTGGTGCGCTTGGCCATGACTTCATTGGCTCGACCTGGTTCGGTGGACACTTGGATTACCAAGTTGGCCGTGTCCAGGCCGGGAACGTGTGGAACGGGTGCCGACTTCGGCGGCGAAGCCGGCTCTGTACGGTCGACGGTGGGGCTGGAGCGCTTGGCCTTGGAGCGGCGAGCGGATTCCACAGCCAGGGAAGCAGCTATGGCATCGATCGACTGGAGTGACTGGAGTGTTTGGTCATTGGACATGGCAGCAGCTTGAACAGCACAGGCAGCATCATAGCCCTTGACATCACTACTTGTGGCCCACCAGGCAAAGCAACCCAGCATGGCCAAAAGCCTACGAAGGAAAGAGCGCCTAGGGCGCTGTGTCGGCTCATCCCCCTGCTGAGACGGGAAGGTTGCATCGTTGGCGAAGCTCTTCTCTGCCACACGGGAGGGGACCACCAGCTTCCTGGTCACGGAAGCACCCTCGATGAACACCTTGGGCAATATTGTGCAAGCCAAGAGAATCAGTACCACCTTTCCAGTGCGCAAGTGCTTCATGGCCCGAACGGAGGAAAAGGACCCATCCGTTTTTTTTCCAAAACGATCTCGTTCAAACAAAATGAGAGCTCTGCTTGGAAAAGTTGCTTTGTCTTTTATTTCCTGCCCGGTGTATGTGTCTTTGCCAGGGCTCTGAAACAGCAGCAGTCAAACAACTCGATATCATGCAGCCGAACATCTTCAGGGCTTAGCTGTCAACTTGTCACTTGACTTTGTCGAACGTCTCAGGTCGACAAACACGTACATGCAGAGTTCATCTTTTGTTCCCCGTTTGGCTGAGTTGTCCACTTTGCCAATTTGGTCTTTGTGTATATATATAATACATGTTATATATATTATATATACATAGCTATTACTATAATTAGTCTCGTTCCACCACTACGAACCTGTAGATCCACACCCACCTCCGGCGAGCTCAAACACTCATCCTCAGTCCCTGACGGTCCAGTGGCACTCGAACGATGGTGTCACATCCTCCCGAAAGCATGGCCCAATAATCCTCCAGTCACGGCACGTGCACGAGTCTCCGCGGAGAAACGGAGAAACGACGGCGCCTGCATCCGCACCGCGGATCCGGTCCTCTGGTCCATTCACCAGGCCCGGATCTCGAACCTGTTCGTGGAAAAAAAACTACAAAATCAAAGGCTGGAAGGAGGGGCTTTGGGAGCTCTGTGTGGTTGACCATTTCTTCTAAAAGGATGTAAAAGGGCTATACAAGTGTCAGAAAGACAGAGTCGGACAAAACCCTCCGCAAAGGGATCTGCAGACTTCTGCGTCTGTTTGCAGAGAATGCGCTCCACTGACTGCCAGAAAGAAATTAAACAATCCCGGTCACAGAATCCCAACAAAAAATACAACTACAGTAGTGGAAATGTTCATTGCCGTACTTCCTACTCAATGTCAAGTTCGTACACTACAAGACAACCTTCGGTCAATGTGACTCTATTTCAGATGCAAACAACAAGTCCAACAAGTTGTGCAGACTTGTGTCTCATCCGATGACCATCCACTTCAATTACAGCCAGTGCACAATGCAAACCAAAATTTGACAACCCCACAAGAATGTAAGGAAATTATGTTTTGCTTAATCCCTTGCCCCTTATGTATCGTGTTGGAGTCCCTCTTCAGGTTGGGAATGTCCACCACCCCGCCCCGGCAAGCTGGCCGAAATGCTCATCACGTCCACGGTGTCGTTGCCCGTGCCTGAAGAACGAGCAATGCCGAAAACAAAAGAGTTGTATAAATTTGTTGAGCAGATATAGGTATAATACCAATATATACTACATCTACTATTATATCAGACTGTATTGTACTATGTTATAATTAATTAAATCTTACAAATACATTATATTGAACTATATCTTTGTGTCTGTGTATATGTATATTGTATGTGTATGTGTGTGCATGTGCATCTGTATAGTTACATGGCTATTATCTGTCTATCTATCTATCTGTCTATCTATCTATCTATCTGTCTGTCTGTCTGTCTGTCTGTCTGTCTGTTTATCTATCTATCAATCTACCTATCGCGCGACTTCGATCTCATGTCCAGTCACGGCCGTCTTGGCAGTGATCTGTGAGGCAACTGAAAATCATCGAGCGCAAGGATCAAGAAACCCCACAATCCGAGGCAAAAGCATAAACATGACGTCCTTATGTATCGAGATGTAACTATCCACTTTAGATGGGGAGGAGGCTCATTCTGCAACACCCAGAATTTGTTCGTTTAAGCTCATTCTGGGACACATGATTCGGCTCATTTTGGAACACAACCAAGGTACTATACCTTCCTGGGTTGCTTTCCTTTTTGATCTCCTTAAAAAAACGGGAGGGGGCGCGGGGCAGGGCGCAGCGCCTCCGCCGCAATGTAAACCAAGTCTAGTGACGTCGTTGGTGGGGCTCGTTGGTTGCTTCATTCATTGCTTGGCTTAGCCCCTTAGCCCCCGCGTGGCTCACAAACGTCATGCTTTGGAATGGCACCTTCTTGCCTACATGTTACCCTCGCGTGGCTCACAAAGGTATGCTACCTTGAAATGGCACCTTTCTGCTCTAAATTCAACCCCCGCGTGGCTCACAAAAGGCATGCTTTGGAATGGCACCTTCTTGCTCTAAATGTTACTCCCGCGTGGCTCACAAAAAGGTTTGCTTTGGAATGGCACCTTCCTGCTCTAAATTTTACCCCGAAGCAAACCAAAAAAGAGACACCAAAAAACAAACATCAGGAAAAAAACAAAGCCACACAACCAAAAAAAACAGCAGAGAAAAAAAGCAGCGCGAACAAAAGCATACACAAAAAACGCATAAGAAGAACAGAAGCCGACACAGAATAAACAGTCCCAAGAAAGAAGCCACAACCTAGTATAAGAGAAAACAAGAGGGACATAAAAACCAGCCCGACGAAAAGAAAACACCGACAAATAAACACCAGAAGAACAAAACACCAACAAAAAAAACACCAGAAGAAAAGAAAACACCAAAACAAAAGGATAAAAAAAGAACACCAGAAGAAAAGAAACACCGACAAAAAATGCACCGCAAACACAAAAGACCTCCGCAGAATCGCCCGCGTTCAAGATTGAGACCAATCGTCCGCTTTCCAAATTGAGACCAATTGCGCGTTCCAAAACGAGGCCGGTTCCCTTTAGATATGTATATTATATATATGTGGTTCAAAGCTCCAATGTCTCGACCGGGCCGACCGGGTCGACTTTTTGTTAGGTGGGTCTAACAAACCAGACCCTTGGAGCACGGCCGTAGAGCGGCCCCACAGGAATCTTCTTCAGAGCCTTTCAGGTGGCATCGAAAAGAAGCTACGGGTTCGGGGCGAAACTGGCATCGCGACTCGAACGGAGCGATCGGACGCTACAATAAGTATAAGGGGCGAAACTGGCCGTACTACTAGAAACAATAAAGCTACTAGGGATGGAATTTCTGCCACAAACTTTCAGAACATCGAGTGAAACATGACGTTTTCTTCACAGAAAAGCCCAAAAAAAGCAGGGACCGTGTGCCACCTCAAGTTGGGAGGTCATTTCCAGATCAAAGGTTTTTGGTCAGAGGCACCGCCCACAACGCAGAGTTGAAGGGTGCCAGTATGATGCGGCTGTCCAGGGTTTTCGACAAGACCTTGGAAGCTTGCAGTTGTCGAAGCTGCTTTTGGGTGGGCTTTCGGAGGGGCCAAGTTACCGGTCTGCACGGAGGGTTTGATAGGGACATCGACCACAACGATTGGGAAATCGAGCACCGCAGGCTTTTGTGGGGCCAGCCATGGCCGATCAAACCCTCCGAATTGTTTGATGTCGAGAATTGTCGATTGGGGGATGCTAACGAAATCGGTGCCGAGCTCGGAATGTTTCAGAGTGGCACCCCCGTCCTGAAAAATAGATGGGGTCCATATAAAGCACCAAACTGGGAAACTACCATAGCACTATTATCTACTCTGAAACTAGTAACAAGTGCATCGCTTCTAGTAACAAGTGCCTTACTAGTAGTA